AGTGGAACACAGTTATTGTTCTGCTAGATTTACCTTGGGCATGGGGCAACTCATGCATGAGGGAGACATTGAGAATTGTTGTGTGAATTGTTACTTTCAAAGTTGAACTGATAACAGTTGAAATGATCTATGAAACAGAGACAACATATGTGGAAAGTGTGTAGCATCAGTGACATCTTGTTTTACATCAACTAAGGAAGCAGTTTCTATTTACTTTTATTTCTTTTTAGACAAGCAAGTTAAAAACGGAGGCATGTTTGGAAGTCTTGCGAGAGGCTGGAGGTACTATTTTTAACAAATTGAATTGATTTCAACAAGATAGTGACTGCCATTAAAAATAGTTAGTTGTTACTACCCATTTTGTAAGCAATCAGTTCAGTATACTTCACAAAATGCTATGTCGGCAATGCCTTGTGATATTTAGTCAAGACAGCCTAGAAGAACTTTGGTTATGGTGGATGAATTTTTTTCAAATGAGCTGAGTAGCAATTGAAGTACTGTTCAATATACGGGCATTGATAAATTCACTGATCTTTTTTTTTTCTGTCAACAGTTAATGTGGATGAGTGGATGAAGAGTGCTAATTCATTGTCTCCAAATGACATGGATACTGGTGAGTTTGTCTTCAATTAGTTCTTTGAAATTATTTAAGGCATGCCATCTGCAAGTTTTTCTTAAATCACAGATCATTTTCAAGTTTTCTTTCATTTCAAACTTGACAATATCTGAAGTAATAAAGGATCTAGAAGTAATTTTCTTGCTCTTGTTTTTGGTTCGATGTACTTAATGTATGTGAAAAATCTTCCATAGTAACTGAGGGAGTGTTAACAGCCATTGTTCTTTAACTTTTTGTTCCTTTAGAATATGATGATGATTTGGTTTTTCATGTTTATGTCCTTTATTTCAGATTTTCTTGGAAGTGACAACTCTTTGAACTCATTCAATGATGATTTTGGTGACACATTTGATGATGATTGGGAAGATCTTGACGACAATTTCACAGCAGATGACTCATCAGATGAAGATGCACAAAGTGTCTCATCCAACTGCTCTATCCCACTTTCTTGCATTGCCTTGTACAACTATGAGGTATGCAACTCACGCTTTTCTTTACTTTTTTACGTAACACCCTTTTTCTTGCAGGATTCACAAACTAATCCTCTTGATTGATGATCATGTATTTCTCTGTAGGGTTTTTTTTGTTAATTTTTATGTTTTTGTCATATCCTTTAATGTAAAATTACAATTACTCAGGGTACTGTTTGAAAATTTTTATAAAATAACTGAGATGTTATGTTTGCATTGATTGGTGAAAACCCACAGTTGTTTACAAAATTTCTCTACATCACTCACTTGCCTCTTCTAACCATGACATCAGAACTGGCTGAGATGTGAGCTCACACTGGGACTCACATTTTCCTTTTTCACATTTCCCCCAACAAGTGTTCAAATTCCTTTTTCTTTCCTGTCAAGTTATCAATAAAGATTTGACTTTATGAAGGGTGTATTTATTGATCTTTGGTTAATGTTGTTGTAGGCAACAGATTCTGATGAACTGTCCATTACAGAGGGAGAGGAACTAGAAATCTTAGAAAAAGATGGTGATGGGTGGTGCAAGGTGACAAATTACTGTTAAGTCAATAACATGGCATCTGACAATGATCAGGAAGCACACTGGCTTAACAGTTATGCAGAGTTGAGAGGTCTAGGTTGAAGACCTGGCCAGGTTTTTGTGCTGTGTTCATAAGCAAGAAACTTCATTCTTGTATTGCCTTTCTCTGCCCAGGGATATATATCCGTCCATGCAAACTGTCATTATATTTTGAAAGGGTGGGTGGAGGGAAGGGTTAACCTTCAATGGACAAGCATCTCATTGAGGGAGGGTACCTATACTCTCAGTCACTTCTTGCCATGGAGAGCAAGATCACCTCTGGTTCTTCATTGGCCACTTGGCTCCACTGTACACTACTTGTTGATTGGATGTTAATCAAACTGAGGAAAACGTTTTAATTTCTCTTTATGAAATTCTCATGACAGGGTAGAAACAAAACAGGCAAAGTAGGATATTTCCCTGAGTCATATGTTGAAGTTGGATCAACAGCCAATAATTCTGCCAATCAGATCACAGCTGGTAGCTCTCACACAGATGGCCATCATCAACTGGATGGGTCACCATCTAGTGTTTCAAGCCTAGCACAAGCACTGTCTGCCTCAACAGCAAAAAAATATGGTAAGTTTCTTTTTCTTGATGTATTGTCTTCATTGAAAATCTCAAACATTTACTAGCCTGGTAAACATTCCTCTTGACCTCTTGCATTTTTTTTTAAGCTTCTGCCTCATAGTAGGGGATTTTATCTATGCCTTCCTATGTCATCTTAACATCTATGGTGATGCCCTTAAAAATATAAGGCCCTCGAAGTGGAAGCTGAATGAGCTGCTATTAAGTCAATGTGTTAATTTAATAATTATTTCAGTCTATTCATGCTGTTCTGTTTTTTCCTATTAACCAAGCTGGTGGGTGATGGAGACTGCCCTAGGTTTCTCCCCAGTCATGTAGTCTGATCATGGTCATGTATTTGTACAACAGAGTGCATTTCATGGCTTTTCTTAAATGGTATTTGGCTTCATCAACAGATTAAATTCATTTAGGCAAAATGTTGTTTTATTTGTTCTGAGCTGGCAGTTTCCATCTTTCTCATTACTCTGGAAAAAATTATGCATTTCTAATAAATAAAATCAGTTTTCTAGATTTGTGATTACTATTATCTCTATGTAACTGAGTATATATTCTAACTTTTTTCTTGAAAGCTTGTTACGTCAGAGCATTATATGATTATGAGGCAATGAGTGACGAGGAGCTATCATTCAAAGAAGGTGATATCATTGGAGTGTTACAGAAAGATGACAACAATGTTGATGATGGATTCTGGTATGGTGAGTTCCAGGGAAGAAAGGGTGTTTTTCCATCCCTTGTGGTGGAAGACTTACCAGATGGATTCCAAACAACAGACACAAACATGAATGTAACAGACTCCTTGCCAACAACTTCATCCAGTAACACTAGAGCTGGAGATTATGTAACATTGCCATTAGAGTACAAGGCTAGTACTGCACCATCTGTGCTAAGTGCATTACAACCTGTGAGAAAAGCCCCACCACCACCTACTGCTTCTCCGCAAATCCCAAGGAGCACAACTATGGCCACTGGAGGTGGGAGAGCTTTACTACCACCTACTGATCGCCAAAGAGCAAGAACTGAGAATTCTACTTCTATGAAAAAACCAGATACTTCAGCTTTTCCAAGGAGTTTGTCACAGAATCCATCACTTCAGTCAAAACTGTATGAAAATATAAATCAGTTGGCACCTTCCTCATCAAAGCCTCCTGATTATGTCAATGTCACAGATCTTCCATCAGCAAGAAGGAATGGTCCATCCTCATCAGGAAATAGTTCTCTAAGTGCCCCTAAGCCTATGGCCAGATCTCGTCGACCAGCCCCACCCCCAAAGCCTCCTCCACCAACTGCTGCCAGCAGATCTGTACACAGATCACAATCTTATGTTTAAACTTTTTCATCTTGAGAGAGAGAAAACTGGCCTCTTCAAGGTTTCCAAAGGAGAAGGCAACTGTTGATCTTAAGATGGTTTTCTGCAGTTATCCAAAAGATTAGTAATTTTTATATTCTTTTATAATGAAATAGCATCTATTAGACCTCTGTCCATAGACAACATCTCAAGAGTTTAAAATAAATCCAACCTGAAACAAAGCATCTAAGATAATTTTGGAATAACAGATGGTTGCTGTCTCGAAAACTCTTTGTTTCGATTGGCTGTTGGCTTTACATCACATATGAAAAACTATGCATCTGTTCTTTGGAAGAGAGTTCAATTTTTTAGCTGAATTAATCAAAGCAAGATTTGTGAGAATTTATAAGTAGTAGTGTGTTGATTTGCATAACTCAGCCCCCATTCCCAAAAAAAAAAAGCATTCTCTGTAATGGAAGGATGTAGTTGATGAAATTTGAACTCATTAATATTATTAATTCAAACAACATGTTTAAAAAAATTGTCAAGTCAAATAATATTTATTGCATAGAACCTTGATTATTCAAATTTAAATTACTTCATCAAACTGGACTGTTGATAATCAAATAACCAGCTCAAAGTTAATTTTCTTTCAAGTTATATTTTTTGTGGGAAATGTTATTGAAATTGTATCCATTCCAGACATGATTCTCCATGCAGCAGTGCAAAGGAGGAGCACCTGCTACATCAATGAGCAATTCTTAGCACATAATTTTTTTGAACAAAAATTAAGGACTGCACTGTGTGTTTCCTTCTCTATTCTTAACTCTCAGAAAGCATCTATTGAAGGGGCCTGTATAAGGTGCAAAAGGTATAATGAAGACAGTCTTGGTTCACATAACAGGGTTATGTATAGCTCTCACTTGATATTTCCTGTTCATCATCTCTGTATGTAGGGACTTGAAAGATTACAAGTGAACTTTTACTGGTCCTGTTAATTCAAATTCAAATGTTAAACTTGCCTTTATATCTTACTTTTGGCATATTTATTTTCTCATGCTATTAGTTGAATGGTACCAATCAGAACCAGCCTTTCAGGGCAACATTTATTTCCAATGCAATGTGGAAAAGAATTATATATTTTCATTTAAACCAAAATGACATGGATTAGTGAAATAACAGTTGCAATAATTTTAATGATATACTTGTTTTGTTTTTTTTTTTCCCTTTCTTTCTTTTTTCTGGGTAACAATATGTGTAGTAACCGTCATGTGAATCTCAAAAAAAAATTTTTTTATGATAGGAGGCAGTTCTTGATATATTTAAGCACATTTCTACACAAAGTTCAATAGAACTATAGTACACTTAAAATTACTAATTGTAAACTTATATATCATGGATTATTTTCTCACTATTAGCCAATAGTTTTTCACTTATCCAACGTAATTTATACTGGATTTGATTTGTGGGCAAAGGTTACAGAATTTATCAGAATGCTGTGGAATATTGTTAGTAAACTTGGGAAAGTATATGAAGTGTATCCTGTGCTAAAAGTTAGTCTTGAAAATCAGCTGGTCTGATTTTATTGCCAGGGTTGCAAGAGATTAGCTATGATGGTGCATGGATATACTGAGAGAACTTTTGACATCAAAATAGTAGTAGGTAAAATATATTAAAGTTCACACAGCAACCAGGTGGACAATCAGACATAGTAGGTAGTTGTTGTTTTTTTTTATGTAAAAGGCAAGGTGGTAATAGAATGAAAGAGGATTACTACTGAGATAAAATAAGTGTTTAAATCGTAGCTGCAAACAATGTGATTTTTCATGAAATTCCAGAATCTTAGGTAAATCTTGACATACTACTTGAAAATAGTGAAGTATCATGAACATTTGTCCCATGACAAGCTCCATTACAATGTGGACCATGAAATTTTGACAGAAGACTACTATTTTTCTTTCAGTTTTAAGGTCAACCGATTGTACATCATCCAATGGTATACTAGTTGACCTCTAAATGGAAAGAAGACAAGTAGAATGAAGTTTAACATCATGATCCTCTTTTTACAGTGTAATGGCCTAAATCTTGAGGCAAACCATGGTACTGTAATATTTTTACACTTCATACTTATTGATAACCTCTAATATTTTCTATGATGTTTTGGTAGTTCATATTTCAATAGGAACTCCTCAGATATCAGTAACTGTTTCCCCTAAACTGATTATGGCACAGGCAATCTTTTGCATTATTATTCTTTTTAATCTAGCAGATTGCAAGTGACAGGCAATGTTATATTTCAGTGATAAATTCTTAGCCTTGTTTACAAATAATACAATCACCCATTTTACTCACACACAAGTCTTTTTCTCACAACCTCTTAAAAATCTGTCATTTGAAGTAGTATCTCTACAATATTATTGTGTAATGAACAAACAGGTCCTTGCTTTACTTGCTAAGCAAATGCTCTATAATTAGCGGTATGTCAAATTCACTGTCTCTGTCCAAGGAAGTGATAAATATAAGTTGTAAATTGTGTAAAGCTATCTGGTTATCAAAAACAGTAAACTTGCAATTTGAAAAGTGATAAAGTTATTGCTTTGTGTAACTTTACTTTTTAACTATTACTAACAGTCAAAATTGCACCACACAAGCTTTAGCTCAGAGAGCATAAGCCTCATCACAAGCAGATGCTATTTCACCAATATATCTAGCAAAAAATTGCTAAGAAAGCAGTAGACAGACAGACTGGATTTAACATTTCCCCCAACTTCTACTGAAATCAGTAGTCACGTCAGAAGACATAACCTGACAGTCTAAAGTGAGGTTTGTCATTCATAATCACTCCTAAAGGCATTGGAGTGTGATTGTTCGGGTGCACAGGTCATTAAAACAACAGTCACTGGTGATTGTGACAGCCATTTTAAAGTAGAAATTTACAATACTTCTTCCCTAGAATCTGATGACAACTTTCACTCTGGCTCAATGTTGAACATTTCAGTCATTTGGAGACAAAGGACTATTCCCTCCTTGATGTTCACACTGGAAAACATCTTGATAGTCCAAAGGTTAAACCATTTACTGAGTCACTTAAGTGTGGTTGCTGATTCCAGGCTCACATTGTGAAACTATCTCACTTTGAAAAAAAAAAGTCTTTTTGTCATCCAATATGAGGAGTCCTTGTAACTGTTTGCTGTCTGTCCACAAAGATCCTGACTCTATTTTCTTCTAAATTGCGAATAACAAAGCTGTTTTCAGGAATGATTTGAATCTGTAAAAAAAAAATTGAATCTAAATGTGAGATTCATGTCAGTAAAATTTTTCAGCTTAAGTACCATTTGAGCCATGGGAAGATGAATCCTCCAAATATGCCTTGCTCCTAACTTGTGATATCTCAGTTGGTAGCAGTGTCCAGTTAGTATTTGGGAGGCACAGGTTGGAATCCTGTCAAAGCCTGATTTTTTCAAGGTTATTTCCTGAAATTGTTCAACTTGCAACTCACCAACAAAGATAATCTCTGCTTATTATCATCCCCAGATCAAATAAATCATACTTCATTATTAAATTGTGATATATTTTTCTTTGTATTTCAACTGCTGGTGAAAGATTTGTATAAACGTGAAGTTATATTAGAAAGCCACGGGTCATCTTGAGGGGAGGGGGGGCACACCTTTTTTCACAGTTAGAAAATGTTTTGGCTTGTTAAAATTTAAAGCTTTTTTTCATTAAATTATGAACATGTATTTACTTTTAGTCCTGGATGCTCCTTGTCAATGATTGTAGTTGCCTCTTCAGCATCCTAAAAAGAGATTTATTTTATTTGGAAACTTTTCTTCTTAATGTATTAATCAGCATTAAAATAATATATTTTTTTAATTTTAATCATTTTTTTTCCAAATTTCAAAACTTAAGACAAAAAATATTTTTATTATAAAATGTAATCAGGGAGGTATGTGTAATTTAAGAGAAAAGAAAAACAGAAACTTTTGTCAGAACTTATATCAATAATTTACAGCCATTTTACCATACTTAAACATACGGCCACAGATCAAAGTTCATCTTAATGATATTTCAACGTCACGATACCGAAAGCAGCTTGCGTTTACATTCATCAAAATGAGATAGAAAAAGAATTTAAAGATTTTCGAGCCACCTCTTTAAACGGGAATCAGAATTAAGCTTGGAGTATCAGTTGATTGTTTAGATTTACCCTACATCGATATTGAATGCACTGACTGTATTATTTTCTCGCCGCGTGCCTGATGCTCATGCTGCCACCATGCATGTTTCATCGTCAATCATTAAGTTATCTTTATCATAGAGAGGCTACGACAACACTACTTGATTCACCGGGAAATTTGAACTACAAAATTAAACGTTTCTGCTATTTGAAACACTATCTCCTCACCACAAAATGATACAACAACGCAAAGCTTTTATCTATGCTCGTTTTCACGCAGTGCATTTCTAGCCAAACTTTTGGTTCCCATGTCACCAGTTGAAAAAAATTCAAAATTAAAGTATGTTACCTTTCCAACAAGTTCTGGCCATTCTTTCTTAGGAATTCTTTGTTTTTGCTTCCATCTGAATAATTTATTTTTAAGAAAGGACATTTTAGGCTCGAATTTTTGTACGAAGTCATTCGCATAAAATCGATGTAAACAAACACAGAGGCTGGTCTCATCCTGATAACGAGGCCCCTTTTGGCGGGAAAGGGAACACGTCCTGACACCTCCCCCGTTTCATTTTCCGAGAAACTGAAACTATTTCGCATCAAAAATTATTTCAGTTTCCGGTGGTGCTGATTACAGCTTGGTTCATTCCTGATGGACAGTTTTAAGCTTTCGGCTGTCCAGAATCTCAGAAAAATCAAGTGTTTCAGGTACGACAAACTTTACATGGATGTACGCTAACGTTTTGTCTCAAATTGTAACAACGTAATTTACGATTGTTGTTTCATGAAGATTAGCGGACATCGATCCATCCTCTACATTTTATGATTACTGTTCTAGTGACAATATTGTACGTGTAAAAGGGTGAAGCGATTTTAAATGCTACGGAAAATCTTGAAATGAGCTTCAATATTATTCTAAACACAAAATGGAAATACCCAATAAATACAGTGCAAAACAATGTTTGTTTGTTCCTTTTATGAGAAAAGAAAATTGAAGAAGGAAACCCAAATTTGCGATTTTTCATGTTTAAAAATTAACATATTACTCAGACATTGACATGAGTTTGATACTAAATTGGAAACCCCCTACCCCTCCCCTGGAGCGTTCAATATTGCCCGCAGATAAGCGGGATCTAGTTTCAAGGTTTGCTGGATATGTTTGCTCTCGCTCTTCTAAAGATGGGTGACCCAGTTAGCTTCGGTTTTTGTTGATGTAAACTCATGGAGAACCAGATTTTCACAGCAAGTTATCATCGTTATGGTAGCCAAGAGCAGCTGGTTACAGAAATGAACGACAATGATGAAGAAGATGACGATTTTGACGAAGAGGAAGATGATGAGGATCTTGAAGACGGCGAGGATATCGACCTGAGAGAACATGCGTACGACTTTGTTCAAGTCGCTGCGTCTCCCAAGCATATTCACTTCGTTACCGACGCCTCTCTCAGCTCGTGGAGTGATCCAGAGGCGGCATTGGAAACGAGCACTCGTTTAGGGTAAATATTTAAGTTTTCAGATGTAACACTTCATGAAAGTCACAAGTACCACAACCAATGGTAATTATTCAGAATTATTTGTGGTGAATCTGTTCTCAGTTGTCTCGAATTGTTTCTTAAACTTAGGCGCGTGGACAATCTAGACATGCAGTTACCATAACCATCAAATCTCAAAATACAGAAACAATCGAGATTAAACAAATGAAAGTCTACAATGCGATTTATTAGTCTTTAAAACGTAAGTTGTTCGGATTAATGCAGTGATACACTTGCGCTCTGTTCATTTCCTTATCAATAATTTACATAATGAGTGACCTGCAAAGTGAACTTTGATGAGCTGGCTTGAAATAATTTTGCATCACGACGGTTAGATATCTTCAAATTAAAACTGTCATAAGCCTCAACCTTTGCGTAAGGTTACTTAATTTTGAGAATTACTAATTGACGTTTCGTCCCAGAATATAAAATTACTCATTTGGAAAATAACTTTTTTTTGCGTTTCATTGGACATTGCTTTCTGCTTTGTGATAAATATTATTTATTTATTACAATTACAATGGCAATTGACAAAATAAAGTAATTACCCATAACAAAGGAAATGCCATAAGGATGGTCTGTAAAAGAGTCCAAGACCCCATCCTCAGACAGACCACCTAACTAAATATATAGTTTAAAAATACAATTAATATAATCAATTAAAATCTGTAATAAAAATTCTAAAATATGTGTCTATGAGTTATTCATTAAGAAGTTCCTCACGCCACACTTAAAACTCGAGATACTAGACACTGATCTAATTGGAAATAGGAGTGAATTGCACATATCAACAAAACAATTAAAAAAACCAAACTTGAAAATATTAGTACAGGCATAATTCTTCTTTAAAATAAGTCCCATCTTTCTTTCACAAAGGGTACCTAGCAGTATCAGAGTAAAATTGTACAACTGAAGAGATGTCAATATCAACATAACCATTCAAAACTTATCTACTCTCATACCGCTTCTATCTGTGTAATAGGTGGTGCTACAGCTTTTTTTGTTTAAATTATTGATTGGGTTCCATTGACTGATCTACTGGAAAAGACTAGTGCTCAGCTTGAGCCATTGTCTGGGCATAATTTGGAGGGAAACCTTGATCTAGTTGTCGGAATTAATAAGTATTTTGCAGGCTTAAACTTTGTTTACAGAACAAAAAGTAAGCTCTACATGAAGTGTCTCATCTAAAGTGTACCTTACATTGTGTGACCTTTCATTTAAGATGTATCTGCTAGCATTAGCTGTGGTCACACCACAGACTTTTACTATGGGGAAATAGATTAACCAGGGAAAATTACCCAAATTTGCTCATGGTAAAATTTATCTTGGGTTTCAGTTTCCAAAGATGAAAGGTTACATCAGCCTTTGCCACCAGTCTTATCTGCGGGTTTTTATGGTAGTTTCAAAACATGACATCTAAGCCTCATCTCTCAGCAACATACCCATGGACATGTGCTGATTGGTACATTTGCATGGGATTTCAAGTTTCCCATTCTGTTGCTCAAGGATAACTGTCATGGAAAAACGTTTTGTTCTCCTGACTTATCCCAGCCCCATGAGCAAAAATTTCCCTAAGGTAATTTCCCATGGTGAAAATCGGTCTCACTGATTGTTCTCTCCTCCTATTACAGGAAATTCCGAGGGTCCCTTAGAAGAATTGTGGAGCATTTTTCTGTTAGGTTGGTAATAAAGTGTGAAACAGAAAATTACCACACAAAACCAGTGCTTTTTTTATTCTCATTTAAGCCAATAGTTTTGGTTGAAGGATGAATGATTTCTTGTTTTTCTCACCTTTTAGAGTTACTTTTATTTATTGTTAATGCAACCTCTTTCTTTTCAAACTTTTTGTTTGTTTAATTGTTTTTTATTTCATTTCCATGTTTTGTTAATTTTGATTTGATTTTGTCTGGTAGAGTATTCAGTCTCCTTTTGGTATTAGCAGATATTATTATTGTCATAGTTGACTTGGCCACTGCAGGAAAAGATGAAAGGGTAAATTATAATTGTAATATTTATGTTTTGTATAAGAAAACTTAGAACTTTGAAGGTAAAATTTGGCAGTGAAGTATTAAAAAATAAACTTTTCTTTCAAGAAGTATATTTCAACACCATTTTTTGGCACTCCATATCATCTTATTTCTGTAATAGTTAATAATACTGATATTGGAGAGAGAGCTCACTCATTCCACCACAACTATAACCTAGTATTTAACCCAGTAACTCCAGCATGTGACCAATGCAGAATTTCTCTTTTTAAAATCAATACAATGTCAAGCAGACAAAAGGTGAGAACGAATAAAAATATCAATTAGGGGATTATAAATTGATCTAAAACCAAATTCTCCAAACTAACATCATAAGAATTGCATAATAGACAGTAAGGAGAATTACTGATGAGAATGTGAGAGTGAAAGGGTGAAAAGTTAACCTAATCATGAGGCACCTGGAACATTGGGTTGAAAAGGAGTCTCCCAGAACTACAAGTTATTTGAATTCATTTAGGGTAGCAGGGCTTCTTGTCTTCTACTGCTGTGACCCAGTGTGTCACATGTGGATTGAGTTTTTGGTTGGTTCTTATCCTTTCTCTAAGGGTTTTTCTCCAGGTCCTCTGGATTTCCTCCCTGTGCAAAAACCAACATTCTAAATTCAATTCAACTAAATTCAGTGCAACAAGAAGAGCCACCTCTTGGAATGTCCACTGCTAGATTATTATTATTATTACTATTATTTATTATGAAAATTATTGGTTTTATTTGTTTGGTTTTGTAAATACATTTGCAACCATTCATGTTTGTATAATATTCTTGTTTGCTTAATTTGATATAATAGATAAATTGATAAACTACTCTTTTCAGATGGATATAAATTTAGCATACTTTGTAACCAAATTTGAATTCAACTTGTGAATTTTTTTAAGCTTAATGGAAATGGGACCATTGCTTCATAGTCCTGTATCAATTGCATTGTATGGCTCTATTTGCTTTAAGAAAAGATGATAATGATCAATCCACTTGTATCATTATTTTATGCCATGTTTGTGTTTGCCTTCTAGACTCTGGAAATATTATCCATTTTAATAGTCACCTACTTTTTAATAGAGGTCCTTCTAAGGATTTTTGCTTTAGGGTGAGTTTAAGTTACTTGACTATTTTACACTGAAGTGACTAGCATCTAATTTCTCCACACAATTTCACCCCTGAATCACACATTAAGGTAACAAGAATAAAAGAAATGATCACCAACCAAACAAGCTTTTGATTGTTATACAAATTCTCGTTGTTGGCACCATAGGAAATGAGTAGAGAACAAAGGCAAAAATACACATAGTGATGTTAAAGGGTAGAGGGTTAGGGGCACAATACTCTCAAAGGGTTTATTTGAGTGGCTGATTTTGGTGTTTAACAACCAACATAACTGATTTGAGAGTTTTCCTTTTTATCACAAATTTATAGTCATAGTAAAACCAAGAAAGGAAATTGAATGAGCTTGAAGCAGAACTCTGATTTATTTATGTGTATGATTACAACCATGATCAAAACTATAATAAAAAAATTCTTGAACACGATTGGTTATCACCAGTCTGATTTGAGCACTGATAAGGCAGTGTATGCATCAGGCTTGTGTAGTTGCACAGTTTGCATCAAGTGCATGCTCTTGAGTAATAAATCAGACCTCTACTTCACGATCATCTGATTTTGTTAATCAATTGTATGATAGCAATCCAAATTGGACTCCACTCAGTCCTTTTACCATTACCAATTGCATGAGATATTTTTCTAAATGTTGCATTGGGCTGTTACTCACTTTACTTTTTCCAGTGGTTTCACCCACAGATTTAATTTCTTTTGTTGCAGGAGAGCCTTCTTCCACAGATGGCTAGAAATCATAGATCTGATAGTAGTTGTAGTTTCATTCATCCTCACCCTAACCTTTTCTCTCCTGACACTAGAGGAACATGGCTATGCAAAGTGAGTATTCTGAATCATGCAGGAACCAAGCTGTTTCAGTTGTGAAAAAGATAAGATTTCACGGAATTGAATATCTAAATGATCTAATCACAGTAAAATTATTTGTTGGATGTAACTAAAGAGCCTAGTGATAAAACACTTGGTTGTTTTATTGTTTTCCATTAACCAGATATTTGTTTAATTTCGTCGTGTGCTATAGTGTCTAGAAAATGCTTTATTTTCCTAATTTTTTTCAATACAAAGATCTCCATTTCTTCCTTCTTATTGTTTACCATACACCTCTCATATTTTTTAAGTTTATGTAGCTGGTCTTTCCTTTTCCTTTATATTTATCCAAAGTGGAGATGAGGAGTTTACTATAAACAATCATTTGTTTTTTTTTTCTTCTGTTTCAGACTCATCATTACTGCTCGTCTTGTGCGAATATTGCTGTTTATTAGAATTGTCACAGGAAAAGACCAACTTGAAAGAGCTACAAGAAGAATGGTGTGTGGAGTTACTGTAGGAAACATTGCCAGTGGAGATATTGTTAACCTGTGCTTTCCCCCCCTTGTTACAAAATGTTAAGTGCTCCCCCCCCTCTGAAAAAAAAAACAGCGAATAAGAAGACTCCAGTCCTCATTACATATTCAATAACATTGTGCTCTCCTTGTGTTTTCTTTGAAACTAGATATCACAGAACAAAAGGAGATATCAAAAGGATGGTTTTGATTTAGACTTGACATATGTAACAGGTCTGTAAAATATAACTTTTTATTATTAATCACTTATGGTAACCTAGAAACTTAGTCTCTGTTTGTTTCTAAAATAGGATAAACATCAGAAATAATCTGTAAATATATTGAGAATGAATAATCTTCATGTTTTTAATCATTATTAATTCACAAGATCAAAAAAAAATTACCAAAAGGCAGGCTCATGTTATTTTAATTTTAGTTTGTTTACATCCACACACTGTTAGGCTACTCAGTCCATTCACTATTTAACCCTTTGCACCCTGTCATCAGTATGCATATTCTCCATACTGCTCTCTCTACATTCCCTAAGGAGCTGACAAGGAGAATTTGTGTAACAATCAAGAGCTCCTTCAGTTGGTGATCTTAATGTGTGGTTTAGGGGTGATATTGTAAGGAGAAATTAACAGCTGGTCACTCTTAGGGGTAAAAGGGTTAACCCTTTATCTCTGAAGAGTGACTGGTATCTAATTTCTCCTTACAGTGTCAATGCTGAGTCAAATGCAAAAGTCATGAGAATTCTTGATTGTTAAACAAATTCTTGTTGTCAGTTCCATAGGAAATGATTCAAGGACAGTATCAGGACGTGAAATTAACTTTTTTTTCTGATAGCCACTTGGCTCCTCAATTCTTCAAAGTGGTAGCCAATTCAAAAAAAGTTGGTCACCATTTTCAAAGACAAAGAAAATCTTTCTTTACGCTGTCAGTGTTCTAGATAGACCCTCCAAAATTAATTTAGGGAAAGATCCTTAACATGCTACAAAGTGGACACTAGGATGGATGATATGCAAAGTTCAGGCTCATCTAAATCCAAACAAACTTAAAGAGGAAGTTTGCTGCGGATTTATTTTTGCAAATCTTTTTAATTCACTATATCTCTTGGTAAGGTTATGATGAAACATTCTAGTCACCAATTTGGCAACTAACTTTCAGGATTTGGTCGCCAAAGTGAAAAATTTAGGCGCATTGGTGCCTGTATTAGGTGCAATTTCATGCCCTGAGTATGGAGATTGTGCAGTCTGATGTTAGGGTGTTTAAGTTAATGGAATAGGAAGCAAATAGCATAGCTAATCAGATTGCAGAATTTGGATAGAACACAAGTAGATTTATAATAATAATTACAGTTGGTTATGATGAGGATAATTAGAGTTTTCCATGCAGAGAGAAATTAGAAAGTAGATAACTAGTAAAATTTAATTTTGCTAAGTTATCATAATTATATTCTTCAATTCAGAGAGAGTTATAGCCATGTCATTCCCTTCGTCTGGAAAACACAAGTTATACCGTAATCCAGTGTCAGTAAGTGAACCACTTATTTTATCATAAAGCTCTAACAGGCTATTAATTAGCCCTTTCACTCCAAGTGGTTGCTAAGACATACTTTCTACTACAGTAATTATACAATATCATGTGCACAAGTGATCAAAATATAGGAAAATGTGAATTAGAGGATTATCATATGATCCAGTACTAAATTCTCATATCTAAAAATTGTGCAATGTATGCTATAAAGTATTGAGAATCACTAATTAAAAGAGACCTTGGAAGTGAAAGGGTTAATGCTAGTGATCAGACTGCAAATATATGAAAATCATATAATTATGTGAACTGCATATAAAGAAGTGAATATGTTAGTGTTCTTCACAGTAATTGCTAATTAAAAGCAGTAGTGAAAACAAGGCCAGAAAAAAAAATTAAGGCCAATACAGGATCTGAACCCATGACCTCTCCTTTCTGATCAGATTTTCTTTGTTAATCTATAGAGCTTGTACATGTCATATAAAAAAGAAGTGCTTTCCTTTTTTCCAAGATCTCTTTATGCACTGGCAGTATAGATTAGTTGGTGTGTTTTTATAGTGCTCAATTCAGTTTAACTTACTTCTTTGTGAACACTGTTATATGATGTTTTATTGTTTAGGGAAGTAAGCATGTTGCCTTTTTGTTCACAGGAAGTTGTGCGATTCTTGGATACAAAACATCCTGACCACTACAAAGTCTACAATTTATGTAGTAAGTGAGATTAATATAAAGGCTGCTTAATTCATTCATTTTATACATACCTGAGTGAATTTCCTCCCAGCACTGGTAACTTTAGTTTTAATTTGCATGTATCTAAAATGGTGCAACCTGAAAGTTCACCTGTAAGGTGAGCCTTCAAGGTGCACAAAATAACAAATTTTTTGAAAGGTGAAGACATATTTGTACCACGTCTATGCTGTATTTAAGTTGCAATGATAGTTAGATGTTAGTTATTGATATTGTGACATTTGATAACTTAAGTACCAGTTAAGGCATCTGATTGCATATTGTCACTGATTGGGCTTCCCCCAAAATCCAACTATCAATATTCTCTACATTTATGGTAATTTAAGCATTGAGAATGTGGTTGCGTGTTTAGTAAACAAACCCCTTCATGGCCAAGGAGGGAAGCTTCAAGGCAAATGTGAAATTTTGAGGACAATCTCCCAGCCAATGACATTATCAGCCAATATAACAGCCAGCCAAAAGGGTGTTTATTTTTCTCATAACCATCTCATAAATTCTCATAAGTTTGTTTTTCTTCCATCTAAAGTAACAAAGGTGAAGAAAGTGAAACTCTTGACCTGGGTCTTTTCTGCTGGCCTTGGTTTCTTTTTAAGGGAAATAATCAGAGGACAAATTGATTCAAAGGAGGGTTATAGAAAATTAATGTGTGGGTTATATTAAACCATATCTCTTTTGTCTAAAAATGTAGACACTGTATATGGAATTTACATTTGATCACTACTGGAAGTGAAACAATATGTTACAATTAATTGGCAACACTTTTTTTTCTTTTAGACTGTTGTCATTTTAATAGAAAAGTTGTTTTCTCTCTAAATTTAGATTTTAAAATTAATTGAAAGAAGTTCCAATAATATTTTTTTTATAGGTGAGAGAAGCTATGATCCATCTGTGTTCCATAACAGAGTGGAGCGAGTTCTCATTGATGATCACAATGTACCTAGGCTTAGGTTAGTGTGATGTTTGTGAGTAGTAATGAATCCCCCGAAAAGTAATTCTCCTTGCCTAGATACTAAAGGGAAATGATAAAGAATTAGAAAGTGCATTGTTACTGTTTGAACTAAAAGTCAAATAAAATTATGCTGCATGTTCAGAGGACTGTATTCAAGCCATAAAAATGTGATCAGAGAACTGAGGTTTTAAACCAGACTAATGGCATGTAACACTTAACTAGTTCAGAAGGAGTTTAAAAATGTTTTGATGTAGGTGACACACTCTGCAAAAGTAGTTGACTATGAAAAGTTCATTAAGGGCTTAAAGGTAATTATTTTGACCGGAGTAACCAGCAACATGTTATCAAGTAGCCAGAGGAACTCAGGCAGTCACTGGCTTGTTTTGAAAAGGGAATTAGTCTTAGACTTCCAAGTTAGTCACTTGTAATTCTGAGTAACGCAATACAGCCTTATTAATGAGGCAGCTGTATGCATAAGTCAAAGTTTTTAATACATTTCTAGAATTAAAGATTTTAGATATATGAAAATTCACATATTTGCACTGCGGTGGAAAGATGAAACTAGGAGATCCTCGCAGCTAAGAATACTACTGAAACGAGTAGTTGTAAAATAGGACCTGAAAAGAAAAAAAATTTTTTTCCCGTACGGGCTTGAAATTTTTTTCAGGTCCTATTTTACAACTACTCGTTTCAGTAGTGTTCTTAGCTGCGAGGATCTCCTAGTTTCATCATTTCTAGAATTTTTCTTTAAAATACACTTTGTTGGGTCTTAGTATATAATTTTTATTAAGTTTTACTGGTAATGGAAATAAATTTTTGGCCATATGTTGGTGACTTAGGTAGCCAGTGAAACACTGGAGAGAAAGTGTGTGCTAGTTTCTGCACTTCTCACTTATAACCCCATTGGTGATTGCAAGGTTCCATTACTAATACTTTTTTCATGTTTTGGAACTTTCAGAGAGTTCTTAGTTATGGTCAAATTAGTGACTTTGTGGTATGGTGCCAAATGACAACCATGACAGAATAATTTCAACTTTTTGGTGTAAATATCCTAGAGATCTTACCTGTGGATGTGGTTGTTTTATTCTTTGTTTCAGTCAGTTGTTATATTTTACGCACAATGTGAGAGAATGGCTTGACAGAGATCCTAAAAATGTTATTGCTGTTCATTGTAAAGGAGGAAAAGGTGAAAGCAACTTACAATTGCAGCACAGTTTTAATGCCAAGTAGCATGTATTTTTTTCACATCTGATTGATGAATGCAGGAAGAAGTGATTTTGAAATTGTTTCATTTGACTGACATGCTACCATTTCCTATTGCTTGAGATCAAAACTGTCATCTGTGGGCTAAAACAAATTGACTGTATTAACAGTGTGGTCATACCACCAGGGTAGGATCAAATTACTTATTACCACATCGCAAGTTGCCTAAGCAAATGTTAGCATCAAGATCTATTTCATTTATCATGTTTATAATGAAATCAAGCAGGAGTGTTGCTTCTCTCTTATTAAATTAGCTTTTCAATTAGTAAATGACAAAAATCAATAGAATTGACATATCACAGGTGTATTGAATTTCTAAATTCAGTGCTTGCAGCAGTATTAACAAAGTGAAATTATCATCCAAGGATTCTAATGTTTGGGGTTTTAAAATGTGGCTGTTGGCTTTGTTAACAAGGCGTTTTTATAAGAAAATGTATGGTGGTTTTCCCATGTCATGAAAAGGTGGCTGTAAGAACGAGGTGACTGTAGTACTGGGGTGGCCATAAGGTAGGGTTTCACCATAGTCTGAGACCCACTTTGAATTTTAATCAACAGCATCTTAAAAGGAAAATTAGTGAAAAATACAGCATTTCTTTGTTTTTTTATGGAATTATTGTACTCCTGTACCATCATGGGGCAAAAATTGGATCAGAGTAGTTACTGGTAACTGAGTCTGAAATCCAATTTCCCAAAAATGTGTCAAATTGTTTTGCAACACAGTAAATGTAACCTTTTATCCTTGAGTTCTCACTGTTTATTAACCTGTTTATGTCATGTAACTGTAACTCAGGGTGCCCACAATCTACAATATTTCAATGTTGTTACAGGTATTTCACAGTTTTTCCCTTTAGTTTCATTCTTATTTTTCATTTTTAGGTAGAACAGGGACTGCAATATGTGCTTGGCTTATTGCCAGTGGTCAGTTTGAGCAGGCTAAGGTAATGTTCCTTCATTACTGGGCCTCCCCCCAACAAAGAAAATAAATAAACAAATTAAAGAAATTAGTCATTATTGAGTAATCTTGATGTTCTGCTTGGTTTTCAATGCATGACTATGGGTTATTTATGGTTCTTTTTAGCATAGCCTGGAATATTTTGGGCACAGGAGAACTGATTATTCAGTTGGAAATCAATTTCAAGGAGTGCAGACACCCAGTCAGGTTGGTGTGCATTGTGTATGAATTACAAAGTAAAATGTAAGGTGAAAAACCATGCCATGAAAAGGCTCCATTTCATTTAATCATCGATGCCAAGAATTTATTTTGGTACTAAAAAGTTTCTGTCAAGAATTCCTTTGGATACATTTTTCCCCTAATATTGTGTCATTTCAGAGTCGTTTTGTAGGTTACCTGGAAAAAGTGTTTACCAAGTTAAATGGTCGACTTCCTGCCTCTGTGTCATATCGTATTAAAAACATCAAGATTGATGCAATATCTGGTAGGGGAAATGTCTATTCTTGTAACAATATCTTAATGGAAAATTTCAGTGATTACCATTCAATTTGGTACAATAGAAAATTCAGTCAACAAATCAATCATTTACTCTCCCATACACTGGATGTGTGATCTCTTTGAGTTTTTGAAGGGCTCTTTAAATTATGTTTTCAAACTGGTTTGATTCTGTAGAGCAACAGTGTTTTACCATTTCATTAATTTCTACAGTAACACTTTCACTTCCAGATCTCTTTAATAATTCTGTATTGGCAGCCATACAATTCATATCATGTTAGTTCAGAGAATTTGGTATTGGATCAACTTATTATCCCCAATTGTTATTTTCTTTATTTCCATCACTTCTCTGTTTGATATTGTTTTGGTATTGTTAGGAGAAATTCTGTCCTTTCTTTGGAGGTCTTTTTGGAAGTTAAGTGCTTAATGAAGATTATGAAGCTTACAAATTGGTATCCTAATATAAAAAGACCATGGCACAAACCTTTGCCTTAGTGATTCTTGTTGTTGTGTGAAAAATGTAATTGATTGTTGTATGAAATTATTGTATGAAAACAAAATCTATGAATAGGTAAATATTAATGATAACAATTTTTTTCTCTGTTTTTGTTTTTGTTCAGGTATTGGAGATGGAAATGGAAAAGATCTTTCATTTGAGATAATTATCAATGGTAGCACTGTTACGACACTACATCTATCAAATTCACGTCAAGGACAGGTGAGAGAGTGCATTAGAATTCTGCACCATTTTCATAGGTGTTTTTTCTTTGTTAGTTTGAAACCTCTCTTCAAGACCAAGGCCCTTTTTCCAAACATTTTAGGAGAAAGGTGATTAAAGAAACATTAGAGCATCATGAAAACTGAATTAGAGGGGCGGCAGGGGGAAGGCACCTTTTTTTGTTTCTGGTGATGGTCAAGATGTTTCATTTGAGTGGCACTTTTCCTGTTTTAATTTATTACATGACAGCACATTACATCAAACCAATCTGAAAATTTTTATTTATTACTTACTAAGCAAACCAACTCAAATAAATTACTTATTTCTGTGGTTATCTACATGCAAATGATATGGGCTTGACATAGTATTCACTCTCACTTCTAAACATTCTCACAAGCACACTATATGCTACAATTAATCAGCTTGCTAAAGCAAACTTTTTTTTTTCAATCAATCAACTTAAGTTTAAAGGAACTCAAAAATAAACTGCCTAGTAGTTAATAGGTTGGTAGCCTCTAAGTATGAGTTATAGTTTTTAAAAAACAACAACAGTGAAAAAGCAAAGATAGAGACAGTTTTTCCTGAGTCTTTTGTTGTTTCCAATTGTTTCTTTTTTTTCACATTTTTCTTTGCTAGCTATTAAAATTTGATATATATTTTTAATCCTTCTGATAGATACAGCACCTCAGAGATCTTGACAAATTAGTTATTATTCTCTATGAGGCAGAATCCCCTACTCTTACAGGAGACATCAAAATAAAGTTTTACTCATCTAATTCAGTAAGTATGTCATTGTTATATTAATTTTATAATGGAGCTCCAGGCTGCAACTGTTCCAGAATCCACATTAACTAAAGACAAAATTGGCATGGAAACACATCAATTTTATGACCTGTGCCCAGGGATCATGTAACATTTTTATCACAAAGAGTTTGTTTTGTGGATTGCTCCAAATGAAGAAGATTATATAATGCAGGGTTGTCATCAGAGAATGTAATAGATGTATAATCTGAACAGAGTAAGTGGCTGAATGAAAATTATGCTTGAATAGCAAGCATGGCATGTTGCAAAGCAACACACTCCTTGAGGGGGTCTGGGAGTATGCTCCCATGGAAAAATTTGAAATTTGAATTCCATGAGACAGGATTTCTAGCATTCTCAGACACATTTGAGTACCTTTTTAATCTAGACAAAGATGTTAGAATCAGTTCAAAAATACATATTTTCTGTCTCACAACTCACAAAGCAGCTAGCACAAAATGGAGTGGCAGGTAGTGGGTTTCTGCCCTGATAATTAATTTGTGAATTGTTCACACTTTTAGATTGGTGTGATGTAGTGTTAACATTTTGTCCATGACAGTATAATTGTAACTTCCTAGTATTAAATCTTAATTGTATTAATTCTTAATGCTATTTAAAGTTACTGATTAAAACCAAAAAAGACCTTGGCAAAATAAAATTAAAGAGTGTATGCCAATAAGTTTTCAAATTGTGTCAAATTTTCCTCTGTCAGAATGTTCCAAGAGGGTATGACCAGTGTGCTTTCTTCTTTTGGTTTCACACAAGTTTTATAGAGAACTCCAGGTAAGGTGGTTCAGAAGTCGAGAGCTTTGAGAGCCCGTACAGAGATGATGTTTATCAGGTCTAAATTTGGGCTCAATAAAGATTTAAATTTGCACTGCCTATCTTTTCTGAAAACAAAAAAAGACTTCTGACTTAAGGTTAGTTTAAAAACGTTCTGATGGGGACTGTCTTTTTGACAAATCTTGCTACCGTGGCAGGAAAGTACGAACAATATGACATTTTGTCTGCCATGTTGGATTTCGAGACCCACAACCATTTACCTTTAAAAAAGCTCTGGTTACTTAAAACCTTAAAAAAAAACCCTGTAGATCTTTAACTGTACTAGTTTTCTAGATGGATCAGTGCAATTATTATTGATGGGTAATCACATGATTTCAAGTGCAATTTGGTGTTAATAAGCACAAGTAAATCTTTCAAAGACAACAAAATTACATGAGCCAATAGGGAAAGTTCTATTCATAGTCTTTGAAAATTTACAAGAGCTTATGTACACCAACTCGCGTGAGAAATCATGTTCTTACTTATCAGTAATTTAGCTGAAAAAAGTATTACAGAAAGTCAAGCTAGATAATATTTTGACAGTGCGTGCATGCTATTTATAATTTGTACTGTCTCGTGTTGCAACTTTGCTTTAGTTTTATATGAAAAAGGCACTTGTTTTCAGTCAATCAAATGTGCATAATTTTTTCGTTTATATTATTATTAATAATAATAGGAATTAAAACTGGAATTATTTTTCCCAGTCCTCTCAAATCCTACTAATTCTTTTTGGTAGATTGTGAATACAAGGTTTCCATCCAGACTCGTTTCTGCCCTGAGATGTCCACACTAATTTCAAAGCTCTCAAACTTGAAGCTGAAGCATCATTCAGGCAAATTATTGTCCAAAAAAAGTAGTTTTATACCTTGCCTGTCAATGGTGAACTTTGAGATCAAACATATTTTGGTTATAAAGGTGTGTCTTTTTTCTTTCAGACTGTTTCTACGTCGTGGAGAGTTGGATAATCCCCACAAACCCAAAACTTGGAAAACATACAAAGAGAATTTTGCTGTGGATATTACATTTACAAAACTTTGATAACAACAAACCAAGACAACTTGAGTGGGTCAACAATTTGCCTCAAGGGGAAGGAAATATTGTCAATTATTGGAAGGAAATGGATCAGTTGATTTATATATAGCAAGATTTTCTAAACATAAGATAAATCGTGATGTCAGAAAATTTTCTGCATTTTTTTCTGTTGTGTCACATCCTTTTTTTTTGGGAACATCACCATGTCAGGTCCATAGCTGCAATTTTTTTTTTCGTTTGTTGGTGGATTACTTGATTAATCCAAGCAATATTATACTCAAAGTAAGATAAAGTTACTGCATGACCTTGACTTTATTCAGCCCACATCAGGCTCTCTGCCATGGAGCAAACAGTTGGAGTGTGGAAAACAGCAGGGGTCAGGCAAAAGAGAAAAAAAAATGGGGAAGGTAAAAGTAGAATGTGTAAAAACTTGAAATTAACCACTCAAAGAGTATCCCAGGAGATTTTCAACTAGAATGAGGTTTATTTTCACTTGCCCTTTCACTAACTCTTTTCACTGACTGAGGACTTGGAACCTTCTGTTACACTGAAGAACCAACATCTCAAAAGCCTATCCTGGTGGGAAATTTTTATATGACAAAATCACTCTTGCAATGGGTGTAATTAACTTCTATTTTTATATATAGAGTGAAAACAATTAAAAAGGATTTATGAGCAGATAATGTGAAAGTTTAGATGCATTGTGAATTAATCACTTATTTAAATTATATATTGTCATAATATCTATAAATTTTAGTGAATAATAAGGGTCAATCTAATTTTTATAAAGGGTAATTATTTTTTCCATACTAAAGTTCTTTTTTCTACTATTTCCAGGGGGAGTGCAGTTTTGTTTTAAGTTTAAATTTGAAATTAGATTTTGTTCTGTGGTAATTTGTAGCTCTTTAAATAAAAAATGTTCTTTATTAAGAAATAATTGGTCCCCATTGTTGCCAAAAATTTCAAGTGTTGATATATGTGATTGGAGTGTTTCTTTTATTGCTATTTTAAAACAGAATTTGGTTGCATTTACCCTGTGGTCTCATAACACATTTTCTCAACACATGAACTAATAAGGATAAACAAGTATACTTGTTTAGGTTCTGTTAGTTCAATAAAATATTTAGGCCCTGTCATTGGTATGCAAATTTTCCTTACCATTTGCTTTACATTTTGTATGGTACTGACAAGGAGAATTTGTTTAACAATCAAGAGCTTCTTTTGTTGGCAACATTTCCTTCACTCTCATGATCTTCATGTTTGATTCAATTTAAGAGAAATTAGGTGCTAGTCACTCCTAGAGGTTTAAAGCAGCTGTGGTTAATATTGTTATTTAAATAGAGAAGACTTGTTTAATTTACAGTGAGGCAGCTTTTGTGCTCAGTAGTATTTTGTTCACACATTAACAATTAGCTTCTATGTCTTCTTTCTCCTTGTAACAATCAGATATGATTCCTGTATCATTTCCTGGGCAGAACTTTTTACTATTATTGGCTAAGGAATGAAAGAAGATTTACTTGTACAACTTGCATTATGCCCAATACCAAGTCGACTCTTTTTCTTTCAAATATATTGTAGATGAAATATTCTCAATTACCATATTTTTTTAAGGTCTTAAATGTAGTTATGGATAGGAGTACTCAGTGGCATCTCTGATATAGTTGTTAGGCTGAGTATTAATTTTCTAGCAATAATTCTTTTAAATCAATACTTTGAAACAATAAAGATGATCATTTCATCAAACAGAGTTTGTTGGGAATGTCACTAATTCTCACTCAGTTCCATCTTTAATTGATACTTTTAGAGGTACAGGTACATTTCTTGCCTTCTGTTCTTCACTGAGGCACACTTATTCAAATGAAATAAAGGGGTTTTTTTTAATCAAAAGAGGGAAATGATATCTTGAAGAGAAAGACAATTTACTTTAAATGTAAAAGTTTTTCTAGCCATTATGAAAAAGCAACCATCTGTAATCCAAGTATACATGAGCAAGCATGAAAATTATACATTACAAAGATGTGCAGTGCAATACTAGAGAATGACCTTTAAAAAGATTGCAACTGTTTCTGCAGGATATGCTAATTGTCCTCCAGAAGACTTTTTGTATTCTCTTTATAATAATCATGGCTGCTTACAAACATGAACACATCCCAAGAAAATTAATCTCATTAGTACCATAACATGACCACATAACCGAGACATAAAAACTTTAAATCAGATTAGGGCTATGGATGCTTACAAATATGAATAGCTCCCAAGAAATTGATCCTCTAAGTACCATAACATGACTGGATAACTGACACATAAAAACAATGAATCAAATTAGGCCTATCTGGGTTGCCACTACACTTCAACTTTGACCTCTAAAGGAGACCAGGATCTACTTTCTCCTCCCAACAGAAATGATCACCGACTAAAGGAGCGCTTGATTATAAAACAACTTCCCCTTATCACCATTTTAGGAACTGTCTGAAGAACAGTATGGAGAATGTGCATACTGATGTTAAGGTGTTAAGGGTTAGACACCCTATGAAGTTACAACTCTCAAAAGCTTGCTAGTGGTTTGGAATATCAAACAAAAATGTTTCCATGGAATGTTTTGATTCTCTTTATTTCATGAAGCTAAATTACAACCTCACACTTCCAAAATTTAACACCACAGTTGTAACTTGTCCTATTTACCAGTGTCTTATACAGATACATTTTTGTATCTGTTTCTAAATATTTCTATTGGTGACATGCAAGTTATACTCAAAAGAGCTATGTACATGGATTCCTTATACATCTATATTTAAAACTATTACTATTTGATGCTCTTTTTCCTTCCTTTTTATTGGCCAAGAGCAAACCACATGACTTATTTCTGGTTGCCTACATAGAGGGGTGTGTCCCTGCGAAGCACTTTAACTGTCTCCTGCCAAAACATTTTTAAAAAAATTACACTTTTCTTGGAAACGTATGTGATAGTGATTTCATAATGAAAGTATATTGAATTGTTGGTGCTGAATAATAATAAAGCAAGGAAATCATGGTTCCCAAGTTATAGTATCCAATTTAGCACAATGGATTTCAGCCTTTAGTACTTGTCTAATGTCCATACCAATTACCATTGATAACATTCTTTCATTGACAAGGCATTGGGATTCAGGATCAAAATTCCTTGTAATTATAAACTGAAGCAGACATTTGATTCCTCAGAAATACATTAACATTATTATCACCAAAAACAAATTAAGAGTTATCTTCATATAACTTAGATAATGCTTACAACTTATGTACACCACATCCTGTTTATATTTTCCACTAAATATCTCTCAAAGACTTGGACAATGAAACTTATTGTAGTGGCTTTAACATTTGACTTTACTCATAATAGGCCTGATTCAGCACAAAAATTGTGCAAATGTGGAGAACACCACAACCAGTTTTCCAAAATGAGAATTTTCTTTAGTAAAATTGCAGGATAACTTTAAAACCCTTCTCACACCAACACAGTGGAGAAAGTCCAGGAACATCTTGTGTACAGTGAGTAAGTTTCTTTGTACATAACAAGGTACATGTGCCAGCTAAGAATGTTTGGCCCTCATTTCAACAAACATTTTCTTCTTGTAGCATTCTTCATGAAACTGTTTATTGCCATCATTAATCCACTTCCCTGAAAAGCCATTTTCAGGATCAACACGGATGACATCAAAGCAGGCACTACAACGTGGTCCTGCATATTGAATGTAGCATTCCTCATGATACTTGCAGCCATTATAAACACCCCAGCTTCCAGAAAGGCCTTTTTCAGGGAATGCAATCAGGGCAAAACAACAATGTTCACATTTTGGCCCCTTGCTTTTCAAATAGCACTCAGAATGATAAGCCTGAAAACAGATCACACAAAAAACAAAATTATTAAACGTAAGGTACCACAACTAAGATGGAACAGTTTGAGGAAGTAGAAAAAGTAAGGGGGGGGGGGGGGGGACACATGGACAAGGGGAGAAACTAATTCCTATGCCCTATTCTTCTGACTTTGGCATCTCTGACCCTGACTATTTAAAACACTCCAGATTAATGATTAACAAATGTTTACATTTCTTCATTTCAATTCCATTCCCATCTCCAACCCCTTCCATTCTCATCACCCATACCCATCCTGCATCCTATTCTCCTGCACTCCTACCCTGCTGTCACACTCCACACAAAAAAAAAGAAACACCAAAAAAAATAAATAACACTTTCCAAGACTGCATCCCCTGTCTTCCACTAAATTCATCTGAAAGTGATTTATATAATTTCCTAGTCCTGACAGAATTTAAGAAATGTTTTTTACTTCTCAATTTTGCTTTGTTTTGTAATGTTCTGTTCTTCTCTCATCACATCTGTTGGTAATGTTTTCCCCTTCATCCAAATTTTTCCACATACTACTTTTCATTAACAGAATACCATCCAACAAAATGGTAGCCCTGTTTTAAACCTAGGGTAATACAACACCATCATCACAAAACTCACATCAATTTTCACCACAAAAATCAAAAGGTCTGGAGCAAATCAGCTTCATGCTTGTGAAAAACAAGTCACCAATGTCTTTTACAGAATTAGTGTAAAATCTGAGTCTACTCAGTTCTATTTTGTGCATGGGATTCATTGTGGTAAGAACAAGAAAGTAGCAAACTGTAGGATGATATTTGTTCCAGATGTTGGACAAAACAAAATCATCTTATGACATCAGCCATGCATATTAAGCGATGACCAAACACAGGGCAGCTAACATATAAACTTGGCATGATGTTTTTCTGCCCTCAAGTCTTGGAAGGTTTTTAAGCTCAAAATTGACTTTCATCTTAAAATAGCCTTCATATACGCTGCACAAGAGTTAAGTTTTCAAACAAATGTTCCCTCAAGGATTGGGAAATGCTGAACCTTAACAAAACATAACTAAATCACAATCTTAGATGGTCATGTGGAATCACTGAGCAAATATCATAAATGTTCATTAGGGCTTAGAGGCTAAATTTTTTGCCTCTAATAAAAACCAAATACAAATAACTCGATCGATCACTCAAATTGTAACAGTTTTGAGAGAGTTGTGCTCAAATATTTTTCCAGTCCAATGCATACTCTTTGGCTCTTAAGCTAAGTTGGCTGATAATGCTCTCGTTCGAATAGCCCTCGATCTAGAATCAAAGATCGAACATCAAAATGGAATTAACAACATAGTGTTTACTGCTTGAGTGTGTCTATTGTTATTGTTTAATACAGCATAAGTTACCTTTAAACCTTGCCAAATCATCTCTCCACTAAATCCTTCGCTTTTGTCAGGGCGAATTGGATCAAAACAAGCACAACATCTCTCATCTGCATGATCGGGAAACACGGCTTTCAATTCACCTAAAAGAGTGTCTTTCTCTTGAGTGATATACGGAGGTGGAAGTGGCGTGGGTGAAGCCATAGCTCCTTCTACAGCTTCGGAATAAGGTGGCGGAGCATCGGCGTATGATGAAGAGGAAGTTGGAACTTTCTCGTCTTTCGCGGCAGCCATTGAAGAGTTATGTCCCCGAAGTTTTTGTCTTGCGAGCGCTAGATCTCCATTACACTCGCGAAGAACTTTCTCAGCAAGCTCTTTAGGAGCACCTGTCTCGTTTATTAGCGTCGTTAGTGTATTTTCAGAGTCGCTGCCGCCAGGCTTAAAAAGTTTTTTCCACATTTTACGTCCTATGTAAGCGGTGGCTGCACAAAAAGCAGCTGCTTGCAAAACTGAAGAGGTCTGAGTACTAAATACAGCTCCAGTGTCTCTCGTCACTAAGTAAGTGTCTCGTAAGTAATGGGCTCCCGCTCTGGTGTAATTTTTTGCTGACCTAACAAACAGATCTACTTTTATTTTGACTTCTTCAGTTTTTCCTCACTCTAAGATGGAACCCCGAAATGCAATAATTTCAACGTTTACTTTAAAACTGACGATCGATGTAGCTGTATAAACAGCTCGGGAGGAACTGGAATATGATCCAAGCCTGCCCAAAGGCACAAGACACAAACACCTTGTCAGATCACGGACTTCCTGAACCTACGTACTTCCAGTGCCATGGATCAATTTACGAACAGACAGGAGGCGCAGCTATGGGGATTCCGGTTTCTGCTGTTATCTCTGACCTTGACGTGGAGAGTTTTGAAGAACAAGCAGTAACATCATCACCCTAAAAATCCAGGATCTGCAAATGCTATGTAGATGACACCTTCACCATCTTGGCACGTGAAAGCGGAAAAGCTTCCTACAGTATTTAAACCACCAACAGCCTTCCATTCGCTTCACCACGGATGCAGAAAGCAACTGTCTACTACAAAAAGGCATACGCGCTGTTTTCAAGTCAGAGATTACCATACCACGCTAGTACGATTAAAGGATGCCTTAAACCCGGCTAAACAGGATGGCGTAGTCTACAGCATTCGATGTGTGTGCGGGAGCGTCTACATCGGCGGAACTGGGAGATCTATGCAGAAGAGAATCAAGGAGCACGAAAGGGATATCCGACTCGCTAAGACGCAGACCTACGCTTTTTCAGAGCACGCCCACAGCACCGGACTCTAGAACGAAGTAAAGTTTATTTATCGTGATTTCATTTCTACACACGCAGGGTGAAAGAGGAAATTCACATGAGACCTCACCGTAACTACATCAACAGGTACAGTGGGAAAGAAATCTCAGAAGCCTGGGTGCTGACGATCAAAAAACACAGCAAGAGGAGAGCCGTGCAGCAGCAGAACACAGAGGGAACCTCATCCGAGAATACACCATGCAATCACAGCCGTGGAATTCCATCCATAATAGCTGAGCACAACAGCATATAGGTTACACGTATTCAATCGACCTCATTACCTGAAGAAAGTGGCAGTATGCAGTTCGATGGGTGGTTCTTCACGCTCTTCGAGAAAAAGAAACCAGGGTCTATCCCCGTCGGAATCTAATTATTCCAGGGAGAACGAAAAGTAAATTGCGTGTGCCAAAAGGCCTAGAAACGATGACGATAACGTAAGCCTTGCCACATCCGACAATGACATGTCTGACATCGCAAACCTCCCAGACAAGACGAGATCAAACACGCCAATGGTGGAAAAAGCCACCGGAGTAGATTTAATGCTCAACTCCCAAGTCGAATGTCCTTCAGGCAGAAACTCCAGGGTATTTCCTGTTGATGCATTCACTTTTAACTTGTCGCGTTCATTACAGCTTTTTTGCGTTTCCATCTTTCAGTGTGATCGCAGCATTTCTGTAAAAAAGTTCAGGAGATACAGTGACTGGGATAGGTGTACTCCCAGGCTGGCCAACTTAGGCATGGCACTCGTAAAGACCAATTAACACCTTCCGAAAATACCATGAAGATGTATCTCACTGCACACCTAGCCCCGATAAAACTGGGGCCACTCAAAAACCTGCGGAAACTCGCGAAGCGAGAGCCTGTTCTTTAGGCAAGCTGAACCTACCAGGATATCCAAAGGAAATACACCCACTCCGCAACTCGCTTCCAGTTCTAGTCTACCAGTTTTAAAGCAACAATCCACAAACATAAAGCCTGCTTCCTGACGCAATCGAGAAACAGCGCCATGACGGAAATCCTCAGGAGAGTGATACAACCATTTGTCAAAGTGATCAATATATCTCAGAACGAAAAATGGATGAGACATCAGTGGACAAAACTACAATTGTCTCGAAAAGATCAACCGAAAAATTAAGAAATTTTTTTTTCTTGTTTGTTGCACCCGCATTAAAAATGTCAAAGCTTTCAAATCCCGTCTAAGTTCGACCTGATAAGCTTATACGACAAATGATCGACAACTTTAACACCGCCTTGTTTATTTAGTCGATATTTAACAATTGGTTCATTCGTCAGCGTGCATTCATCGAGATATGAAGCACGCGGGAAGTTTGGAGAGCACGAAAGATGCGTAAGGGTTGCTCGAGGCGTAGCCGAGAGCAACCCTAGCTTCTCGAGTACTTTCCAAACCTCCCAAGTGCTTCATATATTGATGAACGCACAGCTGACGTATGAACCAATTGTTTTATAACATTTTCAACACGATGGAAAATTTTTTTCCTCGAGGGATTTGTTTGCTGACGTCATGAGCGTGCACAATTGGAATACATAGCACGCTCGCGCAATAGAATTTGGGTAGACAAATTTACCAGATACGTTATAAATCCGGTTGTTACCAAAGAAAAGATTTTTTCGGCAGTGCGTTCGAAGATTTGTTCGCTTGTTAAGTGTTGATAATGACAGAAATTTGTCCAGTTATACAACTTTTTCCCGTGGGCGGAGATGCGAAGCGCCAATATTAATGAGGACCTGCTCCCAGGCTAGCAAAACTAGGCTTTGATCGATAAACGTCAGCATAGTTCGGAAAGTTTATTTTCGATTGATGCAACAAGGCTTGCACTCTTGTGGTTAGTTTCCGTAGATGTTACACTCCGTCAAAATCGATGAGCTCAGTATCGTCTCAATGGCATTAGCGAGCCAGGAAACCACGGAATGCGTGGGGTATAGAAAAGACACCAAAATAGATCTAACTACTCAAATAAATGTAGACAGTTATCGTCGCAAGTTTCAAAAGAAGTCAAAATAAGCCAAAGTTTGATCTATTTTCATCAGTTAATTACTCTTTATTAATCTATATGACTATAAAATATAGGTGATGGTTACAGCATTTTATGGACTTGCAAACCGGAAATGAGAACATCATCAATCCGTTAGGTCTTCATTTAGTCTACGTGACTTCAGTGTAAAAATAAATTTGTAATTATCAGCCTTTTAATGAAAACCAAGAGTTTTTAATCTCCTGTGAAAACACAATTACTTATTTTTTAAAACTCTTCAGGAGAACTGTACAACGAAAGTACGCAATTTTCATATCTTCCATATAACCAGAAACAAGAGATTATGAACTGTTTGTAATCTCTTGCCAGAAATCGAACGGAGCTTCTGCCACAGTAATACCACGCAAAACAAGATTGTCTACTTTTTCAGGAACATTAAAATATCACCCTACCAAAATTTATTATCAGTGTGTTATTTTGTGCATATTGCCTACGGCTCTTTCGATTTACAAGCACGTCAGATTTAATACTGATCAAGAGAAATATTAATGGTTCATATTTTCTTGATACTGATGCAGTGTAACCTTGTCCCTGATTCAATGTGACCGCCCAGTTAATTAGTTCATATATAACCCAGATGACGATCTATGTAGCCTAGCCCCTTTAAAAGTTATTCATTGACACAATGCCGTATAACCAGTTCTATGTCACAGAAACACCAGTTTTCTAACTCTTCAGGATATTTGTATGTTATGAAGTATTTAGTTAGTTAAGTATGATTTAGTCATTTGCTTACATTTACCATTTATTACTACTTATTTAGGTTTACGCTGTTGTGACGAGTTTCCGAATTATGACTGCCTTGTCTAACTTCAAATAGCGCGTGAACGCGCATAGCTTGTCAAAGAACCTTGCTTTAGACCCATACGAGTTTTCTTGTTTTGGCTTTCGCAGTCAAAATTTATTTGGTTGATCGGAAGCATGACATACATTGTTGTTGATTTGTGAGATTCTTGCACCGAAAAGTGTTTTAGTTAGTGTTCTGACAACTAATGTTTAATCTTCTTAGGTCAGTTAGTCAGTATGCCCACTTAGTCAATATATATGCTTGTTTACTTAGTAGCAGTGCAAGTCAGTTACAAGTAGTCAGAAGTCAGTAAGAAGTTGAGGAGTATCAAGAGTGATCGAACAAAGTTAGAGTCAGGCAGCCAGAGGAAAGCAGAGTGAAGTAAATTTGAAGTTATTAGAATCTCAGAGAGCCGACAGATAAAAGAAAAATGAAAAAGAATGGTCGAGACGCCATTGTGCCTTTCGTAAAAACGTATTGTGATCTGCAGCTGGTTTCCTCGTCATTGCGACCCAGCAGTATAAAGAATCCAATATATTTCAGTTCAAGTGAGTGATACAAAATATCTATGTTATCATCATAACATCGAATCAAAACTGTCTCATGCATATACATTACTAACAATGAATAACTGATACAAGCTTAAATGTTTTCCGAGAGCTTTAAAGGTTATTCAGGTCAACCACTTATAAAGAGACTGGAGAGAGGATAAATTTTCTCGATGCACTCTTCAATTTATGGTCCCTCGGATTAACTGGATTAGGTAACCTCGAAAATTGCTTATTTTCTTTTAGCAGAAAAATAAAATCAATTATCTATATTGATTCTACGTATTAAAAAATTGCGTCAATTTTCACGCGTCAAAAAACTTTCATTGACTAAAGACCACCGAACTGAGTGACTCGCTGGTCGTAAAGGAAGCTCCTATTTTCTATTTCAAGGTCTCTTTGAATGGAAATGATAAGTCAATTTTATCTCCCTCCGTTACTACTGTAAACTGGGTAGAGGTCATTAAATATATTGCTCGCTTCCGGAAAGTTATTTAAGCACAATTTTGTTTTGTTATCAGATTATGATATTAATTTCATCCCGCAACTTAGTTGCGTCAATAAAGTACTGATGACCGATACTTATCTCGAATAAAATTCCTTGCGGCTAGATCTTCAGAGGGGGGTAAATTTTTAAAGACCTGCCCAGCAACTTCGTCAAAATACTGAAACTAGAGAGCGAGTTTTTTTCGCTCGTCACAAGGATAAAGAAAAAAATCTGTAGCAACTGTGAAGGGAAAAGCTAAAAAAGGGCTAGAAAACGCCTGATTCTCTTGTCCATCAATAGATTTTTCAACGAATACCATAATTGTGCACCATGTCTGTTGAACAATGGTTGACTAATCTTTGACGGATAAAGCCCGCCACATCGATCTGCATAAGAACAGCAGGGTTAAGTTCAATACGAGCTATTTGCCTTGACGATGACGTTCATATGACGATAGATGAATAATTGGTTTCCCTTCCAAATGTTTTAACGATTTTTATTCCTTTCTGTAATCTAATGAATTCAATTTCTTTGTTGCAAAAGAACAAATCCCGCTTATTCTGACGTCATCCATTTTCAGTGAAGAAACATCCGCGCGCCAGCATTTTTACGAAAGAGAAAAATAGGTTTTCTGCCAAAGAATGCAAAATTTGTCATATCAGCTTGGAAATAAAACTTTCTGCAAGATTCAAAGTCTAAAAAACATAGATGTCATTTAACCCTTTAACTCCCAAGATCTCATCCTTACTGTCTACCATATAATTCGTGTGATATTAGCATGGAGAATTTGGTATTGGAGCAACTTATAATCCCCTAATTTATATTTTTCTTTATTCTCATCGCTTGTCTGCTTGATATTGTATTGATATTGTAAGGGGAAATTCTATCTTGGTCACTCTTGGGAGTTAAAGGGTTAAAGAACATCTCTTAAACCTTACCTCACCCCCCCCCCCTTTTCTTTTAGTAGTTGACATATCACGTTCCTTCAAACGCTTCCTGAGAGAAAAAAGAATGTTTTGAGGGCCAAAGAAAAAAAAAAAGACTCGAAAAGTGAACATTCACCCGTTGGTACTATTTTCCCAAAGTACTTTCGCGTGACAATTTTGTGACCTGTAAAGGTTCTTTTGTTTTATTGATCGCGCCTGTGATTGGCTTTCAAAGAAAATGCGCGAGTTTTCATTGGACAAATCACCACACAATTCTCTTTGTCGTTGCGAAGGTAGAACAAATTTTGCGAAAAGGTACGAGAGATTCATTTGGAATCTGGTAGCCTTCACACCATGAGTTTAATACCATCATTAGGTTTTATTGGCGGAGGGAAAGCAGCACAAGTTCTTGCTAAAGGATTTTTATCCGCTGGAGTTATCAAGGCAAATGAAATCTTCGCCAGTGCTCCGTCTGAAAGAGACTTGAACCAGTTTCGCACCATGGGCTGTAACGTGAGTAACGATAATAAGTGGGTAATGAAAGAAAGTAATTTTGTGTTCCTCGCAATAAAGGCCAAAGTTTTCCCTGATGTTTTCAAAGAAATTTCTCCTGTGGCAACGAGAAATCATTTATTGGCATCCATTGCGGCTGGAGTTACCTTGGATTATATGCAAAATTCCTTGCCGGGAAGAAGTCGGATTGTTCGAATGATGTTGAACACCCCAGTGCAGTTTCGCGAAGGAGTCACCGCTCTAACATTCGGTAAATTTGCCCGTGAAGAAGATTACACCCTTGTACACCAGCTGATGTCTTCTGTGGGATATAGCTTTGATGTTGACGAAGAACTGATGGATGTGATGACTGCTCTAACCGGTGGTGGGCCAGCCTACCTGTACATGGCGATCGAAGCTTTAGCGGACGGCGCTGTTCGGGCCGGATTGAATCGCCAAGAAGCCATGAAATTAGCGGCTAAAACGTGTGCTGGAGCAGCAAAAATGGTGTTAGAAAGTGGACAACATCCAGGAGAACTGAAAGATGCTGTGTGTTCTGCCGGGGGTTCGACTATAGCTGGAATAAACGCTCTTGAAGAGAGTGGTTTTCGAGGAGCTTTGATGAAAGCTGTTCACGCCGCCACCGAACGTGCTAAAGAACTCGGAAAAAACGGCACACGGTGAAAAAAGCTAAAGAAAGGATAAATTCAGCGTTGAAACGTTTCTCTGGTTTAAATATATGATGAAATATAGCCGAATTGTTGCCATACCGACAAATAAAAATTATATTTTATTGGGAGATTCCTCGGCTCGACCTATGCCACGTGGCTATCCTGTTTACACCAGTGTTACTACGTCAGTCTTCGCGCCAATTGGTCACAAATAACTGTTTAAATATTGACTCTCTGGTGGGATGACACAGAAACAATAACTCTATTTATGACCAGCAGCCACCTGTAGGTGTGTTGCTTCATCGTCTTATTTTGAAAATAGAATTTGAGGAGAAATATATTTATAATCTCCATTGGCCGGGTGAGAAATATATTTTTATCTAGTAGTTGGTTAAACTTTTAAATTTTCCAGTCAAATTGATTTTATTGCTATATTTAGTGCTAGATTAATTTCTGATCTTATGTAGGTTGCCATTGGAACAATTTGTTTGTTTGGGACTACACTATACAGAAAATGCTAACCTTCATGGAAAAACGAAAAATAGATTTTAATTAATTAAAAATTTTTAAAGTTATAAATGTTTAGCTTGTTTACTTGTCTTTCAGTCAAAACACTTGAATTAGGTGCACATAGGCCACTCTAAAAGTTTGATTTATTCAGGTAACGTCGCAATTGGCCAAATACAATATCTACTGTTATGCTATTTTTAACCCTTTCACTTCCAAGATCTCATTTGTAATTCTCAAAACTGTCTGCCATACAATTCTTGGGATGTTAGTTAGAGAATCTGGTACTGGACCAACTAATAATTCCCCAATTTATTTATATATTTTTTTTTGTATGTTTGATATTGTAAAGAGAAATTCTTTCAGATATGGTTTGACGCTACTCTGCTTTAAAGATTTAATGAATGTAACTGAAAAGTTACAATTTTTAGACCCAAGTTTCGACACTGCTGTCTAGTGCCTTCATCAGGGGTGATCTAAACATTGCAACAAGAGGTCGTTTTATACACTCACTAATTAGCTAGCCTTTTTTCTGACAAGATGTAAATAGGTGTCAGGAAGTAAGCCGCCATCATCATGATATATAGGAGCATGGGCGGAGTTGATATGCCAGGCTCCCAGACAAAGGCGCCAGTGGTAATGCCGATAAGTGGTGATAATTTTAGACTTGTCCCACCCAGTTGTATGGTTGGTTAGTCATGTGTGCCCTGATAAAGCTGAATTTTCTTTTTTGCAGAAGAAGACCGCTTTTGATGCTCTTTCAAACGTGTACCAAACTGATGTTTGGTCTGTCCAATATACTCGTGATCAGAGTCGTTGCACTGAATAGAATCAGTAGTGTGGGTTCATTGTTCTTTCATAACAGGGTCTTCACGTTCGGCAAAAATATGCCCCAAAGTCTGAAAAGGTTTTTGAGCTACTCTAACATTGTGGCTATTCAGAATTTTCTTGATGGGTTTCATAACACCCTGAATGTATCACCCCTCAACTCTGCCCATGCTCCTTTAAATCATGATGATGGCAGCTTACTTCCTGACGCCTATTTACAATGTTAGGGTTAGAGCAATAGCTGTCATATAATTAAAGATTCTTGAAAGAGATTGAGCATAATGTGTTGTGTCAGTGGGGAGAGGATCAATTATAATAACTATAATATAATGGTTTCTTGACAGTACTTCCCCTAATTCTAAAAATAAGATATTCTGTGCCTTGAAAGGAAAAAACAGAAAAACCTTATCAAAATGTTCCTAATTTCCAGTCTGGAAGATTTTGTTTTTGAAAATAGTATTTCTCTAGTGGCCCTGGTAAAAGAACCATGGGAAGTAATTTTTCCTCACATTATTTGGCAAGCTATTTGAAACTATGAGCTGAATAGTGTATACTTCCATAAGAACTAACAGTTGAGGAATTGAGGATGATCCTAAGTTATAGGCACCAACCAAGTGTAAATAGACATGCAGGTATTCAAACCAGACCTGGGAGCAGGGTACACAATTAGAGTGCTTGCCTCCCTCTGCAGGCCCAGGTTTGATTCTTAGACCTTATTTCACATTTGAGTTGAGTTTGTTATTGGTTTTTGTCCTTGGTCTGAGGGTTTTCTCTGTATCTTTGTTTTCCCTCCCACTACAAAAACCAACATTTCAAATAACAATTTGACCTGGAATTAGTGGACAAGAAGAGCCACTGCTAAATTCCCCATTATTGGTATTATTATTTAATCAGTATGTGATATCCATAAGCAAAACACTGGCAAATTATAATAACTGATATGTTCCCTGATACCAGTGTTCAATCAAGTTGTTTTATCATCATAATCATGTTCTTGGGAATCTCTCTGTTAAAGCTCAGGAAAGCAGTCTATCATTTACCAAAAACAGGTGGAATCAAGAACCCATTGCAGCAGTAACATTCCATTTTCCTTGAGGAGATCAATGACCCTTAAAACCCAGAGAGTGACCAGCACTTACCCTTTCCTTACAGTAATACTGCATAATCATTCAATAAAGATAGTTTTGCACTAGTGAAAAAAAGACTCCATAAGTGGGTCATTAACTACGAGGTTAACGCTTTTCACTACATATTTTTTTTTTGTCAAAATCTTTATTAAAACATCAAAATTTCAAGCTTCTGGAGGTTTCTATCCTTTAAAAATAACATAATACTACACAAATAAGTCAAAGATACTGGCAAGTACCATCAGTAAAAAAAAAAAACAAAAAACAAAATCCTACTGACTAGCTTCACAAATGGCTAGATTATGTGACTGATTCAATCTTTACTTTACAGAAGCCACCTTTTCAGGTAATTTGGTTTCATAAATGGAGTAGATAACAGCTACTGCAAAGATGTACTAAAGCTGACATTCTGAGCATCAGAAACTCTTTACAGCGCAAAATTTACAGTATCAACTAAGTCAGCAAATCAGATTATCTTGCAAAACCTTCTGACACAGCACCACAATTTCTTCAGAAACTTACCCTTTTATTCACCTTTTCAGATGGTGAATTTATATTAAAAACAAAGAAAATTAAGAATTTCAGTCATGATGACTTTTGTAGTTATTTTAAAATAGTCACTCATATTTTAAATAATAGCTATAGCATTCAGGATGTTAATAAATAAGCCAGGCCTTAATTTAGCTATTCATTCCTTCATTTAACATCTAACTGAAAATGAAACCATGTTATTGCTGAAATATAAATATATCATTTGTACATAAAAAACCCTACCTAACTAAGTATATGAATATTAAAGCGATCTTTGCAGTAATGAACACTACTTAAGCAGTAGAAAAAAACTTCAGGCCTGTAGAGAATCTGAACCCATGACCTCTGTGATACTGGAGCAGTTCTCTACCAACTGAGCTAATAAGCCAACTGTGAGCTGGTCATTATGTTGGTTTGTAATAAACCCACGAAGTGATGAATCAACGACTGTGAACTTCAGTTCACATGTATGCTTTAATACATTCACAATCAGTGATTCATCACTCCAAAGGTATATTCCCTTTGCTTTCCTTATAAAAAAAAGAAATATTATTAATATCTTTGCATAATATATGATAAAACTGTTGAATAATTTGTATCAGTAATAACATAGATACTTGTGAAATGCCAGAATTTCTTATCATGGCAAGCAATGAAGATACCAAACTTCTTGTGGTAACAGGATGAATCTACACATTGTTTTCCCTTTTTAAAAGTGCCTTTTTGTGTCTCATTGACATCACTAAAGAAGGATTTATGGTTCCAGTAACATTAGGTTTCAGAAGACAAAATAAATGGTAGATGAGTTAAACAACTTTATCTGTGTGAGCATATTTCTGCAAGCACATCTTATAAGCAGGTGAACTTGATGGCTTTCATTATTACAAATAATTATTGCATCATTATCTATTAAAATGGGCAGATAATTCCTTGCTACCATGCTTGAGTTAAGAGTTTTCTGTCCAATTGCTTATAGTATCTTTTTGCAGTTTCCCTTGGCTCACACAAGAAAATATCACTGTAAGTCAAACAAGACACTTGGCTTTATCCCTACATGTAGCCATCTACTCTACTTAATTCTAAGAAGTGAGCAGAATGAATTAAACATTTTCCAGCAGTTTCTGTGTTCCTTCATATGCCACAAACAAAGCTCCACATGCTGGAAAACATCGTACAAGTGTTGGTCCAAGGCCCTTATACAAAGCTCTTGGCCCTGTATGAAAAAGGATAATCCATATTAACAAAAATGAAACTTTTTGTGTTATCAGTGAATAACTGTGGTTTAGCAAACTGTACAATTTAAGAATTAACCTTACAGCATGAAGCATGAAAATTTTGTGCAATTTGCAAACATTTTGATATTTTTAGGAACAAATTTTCATGAATAACTCTCAAGTTGACACTGAACAAAATTAACTAAATGTCTTGGTGAAATATTTCAATTTTAATAAAAAACATAGAGTTGAAGCACACTCACTGGAAACATTCCATCTATTATCAATAACAAATTTCTCAAAGCAATGACAACACCAGCAGCAACAACAACAACAAATAAACCAAAAAACTTACCCCTAAAACCTGTCTACTTCCAGGGTTTTTTAAAATTAATTAAGGCACCAGATTTAAATGGAAATACATTCCATAGGCCTTTCTATCTGGAGGGAATCATTTTGGCTGGTTGAAAAACTTCAGACAATTAATTACCAGGCAAGTGTCAGTCAACACATTAAATGCATATTACGTACCTTCATTACGAACAATCTGAAACATTGTCTCAAAGAAGCCTGGTACTTTGTCAGAGCCCTGGGTCAGTATCTGCACAGAAAAAAGTTATCAATGTAGGTTTAATCACATAGATCAGCTTACTAGTGCAACAGCTCACAACCTTTTAAAACCTTTTATCACCCAGAAGTGATTAACATGTAACTTCTTCCCCTAACATCCATATATTGTCCAGAAAATAGGTAACAAGAATACTCCAACTTATTGGGTGAAAGTTGTCATCTTGATGTAAGACCAAATTCTCCTTACTGATTTGGAAGGAAATGTGAGGCAGCTAGAAGGGAAAATTAACACTCAGATCTTGGGAGCAAAGGTGACTGACTTCAAATAACCCTTTACACCCTAACATCATTATGCACATTCTCTACACTGTTCTCTATACATTTCCTAAGGTGCTGATGAAGAGAATTTGATTAACAATCAAGAGCTTCCTCAGTTGGCGATCATTTCTTTTATTCTCATGACCTTAAAGTGTGATTCTGGGTGATACTATAGGCAGAAATTTCATGCCAGTCACTCTTAAGGGTCAAAGGGATAAATACAAAATTCTTTCAATTGATAAAAAAGATTTAACTGGAAAAATTTAGTGATAAAAGCAGACAAAAAAATTGACTTACTGAGAGTAAGGAAAGCACTGAGAAGTTAAATACTTTTAAAGTCATAGATTTACTTTTTTAGTTGTAAAGTATTTACAGAGCAACAACAGAAGAATAACACTAAAGGAGAAAAGGTTACAAGATCCTTCACCTTTGGATTCTTTAGGATAACTTGTCAAAAAAAAATTACAACTATAGAAAGAAATCAAATATTTAAAGTGATTGCTGAGAAAGTAGTGTAACCTTAATGCCTATGAGCAAAAAGGGAGGGAGACTGGATAGCAGAGTGTCAAGGAACAGTGCACATTGTGGTAAAAGTACCTGGATGCGAGACTTGATGACATCAGCAGGAAATATAGCAATCCAGAGAGAAACACCAGCAATACCACCACAAAAAGTAAGCCGCACAGCACCTACAAAAAAGTGTAAAATACATAAATTACAATCACTTAAACTGTTCAGTGATACACCTTTAATGCTCATATTGGAAATGCCAATGGAAATGCCAAGTCTAAGGCATGGTAACATACATTAGACCCCTTGAAATGATTAACATGTAACCTCTCCCTACAATATCCATATGTAAACCAGCAAACAGGTAATGAGTATACTTTAACTCATCAGGTACAAATTGTTCTCATGTCTAATGGTAAGTGGTCAAGTCACCCAAGAGTGATCTTGCCTGAAGTCATGTCACCCGAAACCTGAGTCACATTGTCTGAAAAATTTGTCATGTTACCTGAAAAAAAAAAAAGTCAAGTCACCCAGAGAAACAAATACTAAAAACATCAGAATTTCAGTGTACATTTGAGTAACAATTCTAAAAATGTTGTTCATTTCTTACAACAAAGGGAAGCATTGTCCATTTCTAACAACAAAATGAAGCATTGTTCATTGGTATGTACTCGTTTCTTACTCACAGACATTTCGTAAGCTTGATAAACTCTTTCTTGGTTTCTAACAACACCACAACGACTTTGACCACACAGAAAATTGATCATATGGTTGGAATTGAAATATGTTTGAATAACAATTCTAAAAGCGTTAGTCGTTTCTAACTACAAAGGGAAGCGCTGTTTGTTTCTAACAACAAAATGAAGTGTTGACCTTTCACCAACTTGTTGAATGTGACAATCGACACTTGTTTACCAAGTTTTTTCATCTGTTATTGATAAGAAAGTCACATATAGACACAACAGAACTTTACTTGTCATGGTATTGTTAAAATAAATAAAGATAAAGTTTCCCAAGCTTACAAAACATCTGTGAGTAAGAAACGATTACATACCAAATGAACAACACTTCATTTTGTTTTTAGAAATGAACAACATTTCCCTTCGTTGAAAGGAACAAACAACACTTTTAGAATCTTCAAGGAGTTGCTTTAATGATAAAAATTTCCCAACTTCATAGCCTATTTACAGTCTGAAATTCTGATGTTTTCAGTATTTGTTTCTTCGGGGAACATAATTAAAATTTTGGGCAACATGACTCAGGTTTCAGGCGACATGACTTCAAGCGAGATGACTCTCGAGCGACTTGACTGTAAACCTGTCTAAAACCAAATTCTTGTAATTACATAACAAGGAAATTTGTAGCAGCTAGAGGGGAGAATTGAAAATTATATCACAGGAGTAAAGGGGTTAATATGTGAGATAAAAGATCAATTAGTGAGTTGAAATTTCATCCTCAGTACTTTTCATATCCAAAATTCCTGGGAAGACTGTTCAAGTTGTACCTCTGTGATTGGGATAAAAGTTCAGTTAGAACCATCTTAGTTCTATCTACACAGATCTTGGTGGCAAACACTGAGTTCACAGTGGCCAGAAATATATTTCACGAAGAGGACAAATGGAAAGACTTTAACATCTTAATACAAGGTGGATTTCACTTTATCTAAAAAAAATAGTTTTCTGAGTAACTTACAGTGCAACCAGTTGTATTGTCACTCAAACAATAATAAGCAATTTCACTACAGGAAGCAACATGGTCTATTTATGACATAATCTAACTTCAAAACTTGGATATAAATCAACACAAACATACTTAACCCTTCACATCCCAATATCAGTATCCAAATTCTCAATACTCTTCTCTATGCTTTTCCTTTAGTACTGACAAGGAGAATTTTTTAAAATAATCAAAACTTCTTCAGTCAAATTTTCTTTGATTTTTTTCTAAGATAGTTCTTAGATTATTTCCTATACTTTTATGGTCTTGATGGATGATTCAGTAGCAATGCTATAAATAAAATTAGAAGCAACCCCACTTTCAAGGGTTAAATAAGTTCTAGACTTTTTCAATCCTCAGTGTGGATTCAACATATAATGCAATCACAACATCAAACTAAAATTCAAATTGAAAATAAATCTTACCGAGATCATCAACAGTTTTTCCCTCTGGGGTGAGGAAATATCGGCTCAACTCATAGCCTCCAAAGAAGAAGAAGTAACCAGGTACTTCACGAACCAATGTTGAGGTCATTCCTCGAAAAAGACCCAAAAAACCATCCTCACGAATGATCTGCATTGTCACTTGCACTACACCACTGTGGAGGAATAAAAATGCCATTTTTTGATCATTCACAAGGGGTTCAATGAAAAAAGACCTCTTACTACCATCTGCAAATATTTTCACTATCAGCAGCAACTTTCAAAAGATGAAATTAGGTTAATTAACCCTTTAACTCCCATGTGTGACCAAAACAGAATTTCTCCTTAAAATATTGATACAATATCAAGCAGACAAGCAATGAGAATGAAGAAGAGTACCAATAAGGGGATTATTAATTGATCCAATACCAAATTCTCCATAGTAACATCATGAGAATGGTATGACAGTAAGTGAGTAAGGAGAATTTCTGGTTAGATCTTGGGAGTGAAAGGGATAAGTAAAGTAAGTTGTTACCTCTTAGCCCCAGTTTTTCCAGCCATAATATTCATTTGATGTTGTGCTTGAAGCCTACATTTCACTAATTCTGTTGGACATAATGCAAACGAAGAGAAGACTGCTGCTCCACTCCCGGCAAACGCTCTATTCAATATACTCAACTCTTTTTCATCTTTCTTCCCCACTAACTTTTTCACTAACGTTAAACATTGACCATAAAATAAGAACAAGACAGAATTTTCCGCAATATTAGCAGCTAATGAAGGGATTGTTCCTGCATATAGTCCACGAAATCCCTCCTGTTTTAATGTCTTAACACCACAGTCGAAGGCAGTTTTGAAAAGCGACGGGAAAGTCTGCATCTTGACCTTAATTGTGTCGAAAGGTTGTCCCGCCATCACACATGCAGTACCCCCAATGGCACCTGCCGTAAAGTCTTTTACCATTCGCTTCATAACACTCAGATCAACATTCATCGCAGACGGGGATTCAACCATATTTCCCTTTAACTATCAACTTTACGTCCGCGTTGTTGTAAACTTGGGCAACAAGCGTGATGAAAAATTGTCTGCGCAGGTGACAGCGCGGGATTCCAAAAATTTCGTCAAGCGACTCAGTTGTAGACAGAAGTTTCTTGAAAATTTACCACCAGGCGTTGAGGATAGATGTCGCACTCCTTGAATATATCAAACACATAAACTCAGCGGCATGTGTAGAGGGAACGTTTCACGAAAGAAATACGAATAAGAATGTACGAAATATCAAAGGTTGGTAATAAAAGTACAGGTCCTCTTTATGAAGTATATCAAAGCCTTCCACAAACTATCGCTTCTGGTCGGGAACAAGCCAAAATATTTCTGTCAGAGAGTTCTTTACACTCCTTTTCCGTAAGGCCTCATCAAAGCCCTCTCGAATGTCCTCAATATAAATGACTGCTAACAAGTCAGTAACACTAGAAGCTATTTAGAGCCCGATATCCTTTTTCCTTTATAGTACTCATGCCTTAGACCTCTGCCAGTCAGTGGGCTCATAATTAGGATCCAGTTCCCGTGGATCCCATGCAGTCCCAATTATTTTGAGCCCAAGGTCATTAGGCTCCTTGTAAGCGGTATGGTCGCAAGAAATATCATTACTTGGAAATCATATCGCTCGAGATTGCGTGAACTACCCTTGAAGTGCGTTGTGGAAAGCGGCGAGTGCGAAGATTTGGCTCGCCAACTGAAAAATATACGATAACCAGAGGGGAAAGTTCAAGATTATTCAATTTACAGTCCCCTTCGTTATACATTTTTTATTCAGTATATGATTAATTTAGAACCATTTTTGTGCATGTCGCATGCATAGATTGTGAACCCTAAAAACATATACTAATCATAGAAACAGATCTTACATCGATCCTGTTTCTGTGCATAAGCCACGGGTAGTTATCTTTTGGGGCAAAGACTTTACATGGAGGGTATTTGAACATGCAGGAAGGCAATAGAAAGCTAACTAACCACCAATGGGCGAGGCCAAAGTTCATTAACATACCTGCCAAATGTAGCCCCATAAGACGGTGAAGATTTCGACGTTTCAGATCAGCAGTATGCAGAATGCATGTTACATACGAACTCAGTGAAGGCCTAACTTATCAGAGGATCTCTGTGGTTTAGTGGTAAAGTCACGGAGCGCGTATTCTGAAGGTCTAAGGTGCAATTCCTCATTGGGATACAAAAGTTGTTCGGTGTTCCACGTTTGTAACAAGGCAAAAAAGAAACATCCCTCTCAGTTTTGAGAAATTTCAAGAAGAGAAAGTAAAGTACTCTACCCCACGTCATGTTTCCAACATGCACTAGTTCACCCTTGCATTTCGCGCCAATACATGATTCATACTTTTACCACCAACGAAACACCAAGAAGACGCTATTCTTGCAAATACCAAGCATGATCAAGAATGCGTTGAAACTGTCAGGTGTCCACAGTAATACTTTCGAAGCAGTTGAGTTATGCGGATTTAAGTGACATGGATGCATTACCTTTGTACCTGTTCAGAGTCACCCATATTATATAACTAAAAGGACACAGCATTCACATGTCAGAACAGAATGGTGATGTCAACCATTACATCCCTAAATGAGGGGGAGCATTGGGATTTTCGGCTTCGTAGTTTTCGCTGTTTTTTAGATTCGTTTTTCGGTTTTTTTTGCCCGAAAACTTCCGTTTTTCGGTTTTGCTGTTCATTGCGGTTTGCGGATTTTCCGTTATTTTGCACTTGATTTTCGGTTTTCGTCAAAAATGCTAATGAGTTTTCGGATTTGGTATCCAATGTGGTTTTCGGTTTTTCCTCTTTGGGTTCCGGTTTGAATAAGATCTGAGGGCAATTATTCGCCTCCACTGATCTCGAATAACCGCGAAACCTCTCTATGCTCCACTAGTCACCACTGCATCGGAACGATTAGGCTTTTGATAACTGAGATGTTAAAATTTATCGGTTTTGACGGTTTTGCATGCGGTTTGCGGTTTTGACTGAATTTTTTTGCGGTTTCGCGGTTGTGGATGTTTTTTTAACGACGGTTTGCGGTTTCTAATAGACCCCAATGCCCCCCTGGTTGAATGGAATTCTACTCAAAGTTCGACAACCCGAGCAAACATAATTCCTAATTGAGAACAGACTCTTCTCAACAGAAGGAAGAAACAATCGGCGCTGTACAAACGTGTTGTTCCTTTTAATTATAACGAGAAACGAACCTATCATAACGAGAATAGCCTTCTTGATTGTTCGCACTGTTTAGCTGTCATTTTTTTGGTTTCAATTTTCTCAGTACCTTGCAAAGTTATAATAATGGAAATGGAGATTATCATGGTTTTCGATCATTAATATGTTTGGACCCTTCTCAGGATCATTTTAACCCTCACCTTGCAGCTCGGTCTAAAACGACCCTAAATGAGGCCCAACTATGCCCGCGAACATAAATTGTATAGTTTCATTGAAGCACATTTCCAAAATAACCTTCTGCTGAACAAAAGGTTGTTATAATTGTAGCTTTTAGCGAAAAGAATAAAAAACTGTTTCTCAATCGGTCAGTGTAAAACGCAGACTGCAGACTGTAGACCGGGGTGAAAATGCAGACTGAAACAGACTAGGGGTAAAATGCAGACTCGACTTTGGGGTCACGTGAGGTCACGTGGGGTCACATGAGATTTATAGTTAATCAGGGCTCGCCATTGCGACCGATGTGGTCGCATTTGTCGCAGTTGATTTATTTTGTCTAATTAAAGTACGTTTTTTTATTACATATCAGTAAGAGTACGCCAGATGTCACACATCGGTTATATGGTCTTTGATACCCAACTCGATCAAATTACGCGATAGCCATCAATGCTGGTATTTTTAAAGCTGTTGTAAACTTTTATCGAATTGACTCGTGAACGACATTTGAGCGTCACAGAAGCTGCATTCCTATTAATAATGTAAACACCATACTGGCACTGAAAAAGCACCTTATTTCGTTCCTTGGCCTAAAGGAGTTGTCCAGTAAATATGGCCTAGGAGATTTTGATGTGAAACTTTATCACATGGCTCCGAAATCAGAGGGAAGAGTGACAATTTTGCGGACGAGCAATGGAATCTGGAGCTTCCGACCTTACTGGCTGGAAGAGGAAACGAATTAAACAGTATTTATTGGAATGGTTTGGTATTTGGTATTGATATAAATTTATCAGTTGAAAGCCTACTTGGTAGTATGGAACGCCTGTAGATACCGATTTAAAAGCATTAAAGCATAGAGAAAGCACACATGTCTCTTCAAGATGCAGTATGTAAATCGTATGTAAATGACAACATCACAAAGACCGTTTCTGAGGTGAAACAACGGCACAGTATAAAGGAAACCACAGCAATCAACGGCCCTGAAGGAACTGTGTCTAATAAAACTCAAGTCTCACTTAAACTTCTCAAAGAAGGAATGCACCACCTGCCCAACAGCATAGCCTCAATTAACAAAAATTATCTCGAAGACATTGAATTGTGCCCATTACTCAAACTGACAGTTGTGGACAATCTACACGCAGTTTCCCACTTTAAGCATGAGACCCTCACCGCATCGCCGTATTCCCAAGACTTTGGAATAATTACCAAGGAGTCGTTGAAGAGAGTAACAAAATAGGCAACCAAGTATTTTACTTATGAAAAATCCTACTATCGTGTCCCCCACACCAGCACGGAGTTTGCAGATGTCAACTTAATGCGACCGCTACCTTCAGAGGAGATCAAGCCCGAGACTGAAAGTGCTATGAAAGAATCCGTAGGGAAGTATCGTCCGTTGAGGCAAAGGACAGTTCGGGAGGAAACTACCAAGGGCAAGACAGGGGCTTTACCACCGGCCGTCTCAGCTCACGAAGCAACAAGATTCCACCAAAGTAGACTTGTTGGCGGGACTAGGGAACGATTATAACTTTGGAGATCAGCCAGTAGGGCTCAGCAGCGACAAAGGAGCTGTTCAAACTACTTCGGAAGGCGGGAATGTGACAGATGTCACATTTGTTGACGACTGTATCGTTGAAGTAGTAGTTGCGGAAATATGCAGACGAATATGCCACGGACTCAGAAAACGACTTTCCTCACCGAGAGGATTAAGATATTACCCCAATTACGGTTTCTTGATCCGGGCGGCCAATTCGCGCCCATTTTCGCTTGGATTTCTAAGGTACGCTTACAGTAGATCTCTCTAATAACCTAATTGAAAAGTAGACAAAAGAACATTCCTTTCCGATCATTTCATCGGAGCCAATCGCAATCGACGCATTGTAAAACAAAACATAAACAAATATATTGTGCTAGAGAACTCTTCACAAGTTTGCTGTCTTTCTGACGATCTTCTTTTCAACATTTTGACCAGCTAATGGGTTGAAAAGGAATGTTTTAATGTTGCACACGGGCAAATAGAAGTTTGCGTGCAGAAGAGTTGTAACACCCTTCCAACAAAGACTGAAAGTCACTTGGAAGATCTTGGAATTATTTCATTCCATAATTGATAAAAAGCAGTTCCTGTTGTATCAATTTTCGACTTAATTTTCGAGTTTTAGCTGTATGTGCCTTTTTAACCAAAAATTAGGGTCGAAAAGTAAAAATTAACTCGCCAAGTTAATTATTAACAGTCATTTAACTGACAACTGGCCTAAAATCTAACTGAGAACTGATAAATAGCCGAAATTTTAAGTGACAACTGACATTTGTACCCCCTCCCCCCCATCCAGACCCTCGTTGTAGTTCTCTCTTCAAGCAAAAGTACTCATTCAAGGGGAGTCGGGATAAGTGGAAAATCTGACCAGTATTTTCCGTTAACAACGGATGAACAACCTGCTGCTGATTTCAGGAAAACTTGCTATCCGCAGATCATTGGCCTCTCTCACACACATTACTTCCCTTGAAGTTATTTTACCCTCAGTCTGCAATTTACCTTCGGTCTGCAGTCTGCAGTCTGCGTTTTACACTGACCGGTTCCACATGTCACAGCTATGTAACATAATCGTTTTGGCCGCGCGCTTGATGGAGACACTTTTTGGCCGCCAAATCGTACTTTCAATGCACCAAAAAATGGTCAAGGAGAACTCGCGAGGCACTAAGGTCGATTATTTCTGATTTTAAATACAGCTATTGTCCAGAAAATGCACACAAAAAAAAAAAATGGTGGGGGCCATAGGCACTTTAAGTGTTACATAATCAATTACATGCTTGACTGGTGTCCCCTCAGGAAAGCGGAATGTACAAAAAGAAATAATTTAACGTGTTAATACCTAATCATCTTTAAGAGCATTGTTGTAGACGCTAAAAGTTATTTCTCCCGTGGCTGTGAACACGACCTGACAAACTACACCATAGCGATACTCTACGGGTGATTTTGCAAAGGGTCAGCAATGCTTAAGGCCGTCAGCTTTTGTCCTGTTACCTGTTTGCCTAGTCTCGTGATTAAGAAGAGTGGTGATGATAGTCAAA